ATGTCAAAATAATTTTTTTTTGTAGTTTTCAGTGCAAAAAAAATAAAACCGTTAAAACGTTAAAAACTTTAAATTTTTTTAAGTTGATACTTTTTTTATATTTCCAACATTTTGAATCCTTTTTGCCTTTATTTCCTGTTATCTACTTAAAAACTGGTATGTATTGACATAAGTAACTCATTTATATGTTTCTACTGTTAATACCCTCTTTTAAGACAACATTTGCTCTAGCAAATTTTACTCGGGACTTTCCCCGAAGGTAAACTCTATTTCAGCAACGTTTATCCAATCCGACCCTTTAACCCTTAGGAGTAACTAAATTGATAGCCATTAGTGTGATTAACATTTATTTCGTTAGTTATTCGAATTTGAAAATACACAAGTCTCGAAAATGAGGTAGACATAATCTGTGTTCTAGTAATATCTGCAACTAATGTGTATTTTCCATTTTAACAATAAATAGAAAATTGAAGTAGTTGTAGTAGTAGTAGACTGAAAGTCCTACCTTCATTATACAGTAATTTTTATATTTCGCTCCACTTCAGCTTAAACAATAACAGCTTTTCCCGTGAGGCATGGTTTTATATACTAGCAAGTAGTTGATTAGAGTTCTAGAGTTTTGGTTTTGTTTATCTAGGAGTCGAACCCAGGATTTCTCGCTTTTAATCATAAGGTACCACGTTTAACTTAGCAGTTTCTTCGACTATAATGTTTATTTTATGTAGTCTGGCTTATAGGCGAGTACACTTTTAATAAAACGAGTTAAACGGATTAAAACACGAAATTTATAAATTATTTTTATCATGGAGGAGGAGGAGGGCATACAAGCATAGAGATCACTTAATGGAACGTGAAATACCCCAGCTTTGTAACATCTAAGATGCACTGTCGACCTATTTTAATGGCTTTGGATCTTTGACAGTCCACTGACTGAAGCCGAAACGCGATTAAACTTCACGGATATTTCATCTGTGGACGATAGTTCCCGACCCGATCGGGATTCGATATTCCTACCAACCATTTAATATCCACATTTCCAGACGAAGTCCAACATGTTTATTAAAATTAAAAATTGACTATAAATATTTTGAACCCAGTGGGGATGAAATTCACGACTCGTTGGTTATTAGCCATACATTGCTATCATGTGGCCATTACAACCCAGCGTTTCCGACAAACGAAAACATTTCAAACCGTTGACACTGTTTTGTTGAAAAACGAATTGACTATCTATTTTGAGTGTTTTTAGTTCACATTAGATCAAGCGCAATACACTAGAAAGGTATAAATAAGTGAATGCAAATCTACCCTCGCGTGTTAGATGTGAATTTGCATACAATTTCCCCCCTCCTCCCCCCTTACCCTGAATGATAGCCGATCGATACCGCTCAACAAACAACCAGTATCAACTAAAGTATAATTGAATTGGGGATGATTGGGGGTAACTTTATTCAATTGGTGAACAACGTTAAATTCTAATTTCAGGGGTTAATGAGATGGGCGCGTAATAAACCTTTATCAGCCATGTTTAACGAATTTGCACAAGCGGTCTTGCGGTCTACCAAATATCTAATCTATAGGTACTAATATTGTAACGGTGAAGAACTTGTTTGAACGCGCTCAGGGACTGGTTCGAATTGTAAAATTATTTTTGTATTAGTTAGTGCATTTAAAAGGGAAGTCGTCAGGCTGTAAAACACCATACTGCGACTAATAAAACGGTTTAAGATACACAAATGTACAAAATAATACTTCCTCTTAAACGATCTAAAAAAATATCCGCGATAGCGTATGTCAATCTTGCAAGAACGACGGACGCGAAAAACGTCGTGCGTAAGATACAAGTACAAAGATGAGGGGGTTTGCAAAAGCAAATTTTGACGTCTAACCTATTACGGACGTAGTCGCTGACACAGCTAGTACTTCATATGGCAATATTTTCATTTGACAGACTTGTTACTTACCCAAAGAATAGATAACAAAGATTAAATGGCTAATCCTTTTAGTCAGCCATTCGAATCCCGGAAATCAACAAATAGTCTTAGACAGAAGACAGTCACAGAACTGTGCTTAACTAATTGCTTGAGAATAAACCGAACAGTGAAACGAACACAGCAATGTTTGCCATGCCTTACGGAAAAATCGAGATATCACTTTTGCATCGATAATAGAATCCACTGTTACCAGGATTCGAGTTGTGGCAATTTTGAACCGACACAATTGCAATATAGAGCGCTGAAGGCTACTTTGTCAATTCGAAACTGTCATCCAAGGACGCCTCTCCTGTTTGAATGAGTGACTGGGTAAAAGGCTACCCATTTAGCCATTTGAAAGATGGTCATACACACTTTGAATTATCAACTTAAATTACGAAATTAAACTTTTTTAACAGCTTAAAACGCGAAATATTTTATTTGAGCATTTTTTTACTGTGATCGGATTAGGTATTTTTACAGACGTAAACACGGGTAGGACTCGTTTTAAACCGTTAGAAGTTATCTGTTTAAATGTTTAATACTTGCGTAAACTGACTGCTTCATGAATTTTTTGGTACATTTTTTATTACATAACATCGAATTAACCAACTACGGTCAAATATTTGCAGTAGTTTCCTTATTCGTTTTGGTAGTTATAATACATAAGGAAATCTACAAACTAAACCCGAAAATAATTTATTTCATATTAAGTCTATCATGATTAAGAAAAGTTACAAAATGAATTAAACAAAAATTTTCGACCTTATAAGAGTCGAACCTACGACCCGTAGATTATTACCATTACATTTATACCATTGGTCCAAAGATCCCTTTAAAAATTGGACCAACTTTAAGATTACGGTTAAGACTAACGTACTTATCCACTATATATATAAGATGCAAGTAACGTTAATTAAAATATTGATGATGGCAACATTCGCAAGCGACTCTTGAACTTCGATATCAAATTATTATTGGGTCTGTAAATAGATTTCAAGTTTAAATTTATAATTGCTTATTAAAAATGGCTTAATCAAGGTTACAATGTATCTACAATATAGCCTGTAAATTTGGGCACTACCTTGCCAGCTATTGAGAAGTAGAGATAGTGAAAATCGGTCATTTGGGAGAAGAGGTCAAATAACAAGCCGATAGTTACCTTCCAGGAGGTGGTAGGCCGTGCGTCGCACTACGGTTTTGTAACACGCGTAGCGTCTCTGATATAGGTTTAGTAAAAGTTATATAGTTACAGATCTTAAAGTGTATTCCAATAAAAGGATATCAGAGCTATACGAAACTGGAAAAATATTTTCCAACGCGAGTTAATATACAAAAAACATCAACTTGAGAATTCCAATGAAAATATTACGACATAGAGAAATTACGTAATAACAAATTTTCATGAACATTTTCAGGGATAAGTAACTACTTTATATACATCAGAATCGGTGTAATTTAAGGTTTTTATTTCATTAATTGACAAATCAAAACTAAATAATATATATAATAATATATATTGGTCATAGAACATAAATCAGACAACGTAATTATTTTTGAAGATCGTCAATTTCAAATGGACTGTACTTTCTCTTGCGGTTTACCAACAATGAGATATCATGTCATATAGTTATTAGTAGATAAAAAAAATTGTGCACTTTTTTGCTCCCTTTAAATTTAGCACCTAAACGTGTGCTTTGACAAGTTTCAAAATTTCTTTTACGTTTTGTTGTAATTACGCTACCGGTTATAAAATATTATGATTTGGGTTATTTTTATCAATTAAACCGCAATATTTGTCAGGGATTTATCATTTTAAAATTTAATAAAGATAGCGGGGTTCCTGTTCTGTTTACCACAATGAGAAATTTGATAACGGTACATTTCCCAAGGGAATATTTGTAAACTTCGTTTACAAAATAGTTTATAAATTATACGTACTATATAAAGTATCGGAATCTGAGTCAGTTTATCACTTTCAAAGTTTTAACTTGTTTGCTACATTCTCACTAAATGTTTGTCCATCATGTGTTATTTCAGTGTCTCTACACGTGACTTGTGTACTGTTTCATAAACAGTAGCACAGAATCCAAAGATATATAAACGTATTTAGAAAGTAACTGCAATTTGACACCTTTAAAGTGAATACTGTCTATAGTTTACGCGAGTAGTACACATTTAAATAAAACACTTTAACGGTTTAAAACGCGAAATTATTTTTACGGGTTAGTTAAAAATCATTTTAATTATAACTAATATATCGTTTAAAAATAAGTTTAACTAATATATCGCGTTTTTAAACCGTTAAAGTGTTTTATTTAAACCTTTAAAGTGTAAAATAGCGTAAGATGAAATCATCTCGCGAAATTTCATGATCGTTGGAGAAACGCTGCAAGAAGAAACAAAATCGTCGTTAGATATTAAATTTAAAGTTCATTACTTCGGAGGATCGCGGTAGACCATCCATGTCTTACGATGATTCAACTTTACGGATTTTAATTATCTTATCAAAGGAGTTAGTCCTTTGTTCAAGAGTTAGGATCTCAAGGAGAGACGGAAGAAGCTTCCGTTGTGTCCACGCTGAGGATAATAAATATGAAAGAGAAGGATATTAAAAAATAAAACATTTATATTATTCTACTCTTCATGAGTATCTACGTAACGTCTTCGAGTGTCTACGTAAATTTGAATTTGATGAAATCTCAATACGGATATTTAAGAGTTTGAGAACAACTGTACTATTTTCCCTCCTTGCAATGTATTGAAATGCTAAATAAATGTGCTACCTCCCAGCAAGGACGATTGAGATTACTAATGTGAGTGCTAAGGTTAGATATATTAGATCACACTTCTACTCGTATTTTAAAGATTGATTCAGTAACAGCGACTGGTTTGCAAAATGTAAGTTATTTACAAAATTGCGGATGCGATGGCTCTTCGGTTCATAGTGAATCTAAACAAGTTTTAACTGAAGTAAATGAAAATGTAACTGACGCAAACGTATGTATGTCTCTCGTTCCCATAACAATGACTTACCTATTGGGGAAACTGAAAAAGCGTATTAATACGGTGAGTCTACGTTGCACACGTTGATACGATGTATGGAAAACACAGGTGAATCCGAAGATATCATTGAAAGATTTTATATAATCCTGTAAAATTTAGCCTTAAATCATAAATAAACGCCATCAAAATTGGAGAATAGGCGAATACTATATGCCATCCTCTGTGAGTCAAATAATAATCCACGAGCATAATAAAACCTTACGTTACATTATAAATAAAGATAACCGTAAACTTAGTTCAAGTCATTGTAGAAAATGTTCACGATCAGCTACAAACGAGGATGTGTTTCATGCTCTACTTTACACACCCATATAATTATATCTAGCCTAAGAAAACCTACCGAATCAACTCCAAAAGAACTGTGGGAAGAAGCAATGAATCTTATGAAATTGTAAATTAAAACTTATCTTTTTTATATGTATTTGCAGATTATATTGTTAATAAAAGTTTTTAAAAAAAAATTAATATAAATGTAATAAATTTGTCATTTTATTTTAAACATAATATTGTTAATTAAGCAATAACATCATTATATGGAACGCTACGAGTTATGAATGTTAATTTTTGGTAAGTTTATCGAAAAATTACGTATAGTTCTTTCAATGTTTATCTTTAAGTGATACTGGCGTAGAACGTCACGTAAATTAAATGTCTAAGTGTTCTATTATAGTTAAATAAAACCACTCTGCATTTTCCAGCGGAACCGCCCCCGTTAGTGAACGTGACCGTCCACGCGTCAACTATCCTGGCCATCATTTTGTGGAACGTGGCTGGTGACGGTGGCCACCCAATCATAGACTTCACCGCGCAGTACCGCTCCGCGATGCCCGTCAACGGCACCCTGGAGGCCTGGAGACCGATCAGTCCCAACCATATCAGCCCAAACTCGGTATGTGTTACTTGTTTTTTTCTAAAAAAATTTTTTTTTTTTGGGGGAAACCATCCACTTTAAATGTCGATGTTAAACGATTTAAAACGGGAAATGTATTTTGATTGTGATTCTACAAAGATCGGATAATTAAATATGTACGTGTATTTAATTTACTGACTTTTTAAAAGAAATTCTGCGAATAAGAGTAAATAAATAAATTTATATTTTACAATACTGCTCAAAACAGGGCACTGCAAAAAAACTTACGAGTGAACCTAAAAGTCTTTAAGACTACGATAATTTACTTTAAAATAAAATGTAATAGTTTTAGTACATATTTGTTAGTTGTTACTCTAAAAGCGGTGGCGCCAGGGGCCACTAAAAATCAGTCTACAACAGTGTAACGCTATGCAGAGAGACGCTCGATTTTTAAAATTGCCATTGTTAATTTTTTAAGCCTTCAATATTTATATAAATTGTCTAACTATAGTTATTAAGTTAATTTAGTTTATAATTTGTTTTTTTGTACAACTATTAAATAATATGAATTAATCATATATTATTATATCAAGTTTAAGAGCCCTTACACACCTGTTTTTAGCGCCAAATAGACGTGTACCATTTGGAGCCGAACGCGTCTTACTGGTTTCGGGTCTGGGCTAACAATGTCCTAGGGCCTGGACCTCCTGTCGAGGTTCTTGCGACTACTCTCTACAGCGATCAGGAAGCTGGTAAAAACTTATATCCACATTAAAATAGACTAAGTAATCTGTTTCAAGGAAAATAACCAAACTATTCCAAAGTTCAAAAGACAAGCGACTATAACGACAAAAATGTATTATGAAAATATCGAAATAGTTAGTTTTTATCTATTCTACTAATTTTTAAACAGAATATATTTTAGCATCAATAAGTACACATCAGTACGTACTCTAAAACAAAGTCGCTTTTTCGCGCCCTATGTACGCTTAAATCTTTAAAATTACGCCACGGGTTTTGTTGCAATTTTTTTAAATAAATGATTCAAGAGAAAGTTTATTATATACAACGTTCACAGTTTTTCCGTAGTGTATTTAGTATCAGCATTGCACCTAAGCGAAGGCGGAGCGGGTCGGCTAGTAATTATAATTATAATTGTCAGTTTGTACTACATTTATCTATGCAACTGGGTACAGTGTTGGTATCTCAGACTGTAAGTTAATTCTGTATTAGGAATTTTATATTGATATATATATATATACTTATACACAGAGATGATGCTATCATGTCCAGCTCATTCAGTAATATTTATCTAAACGTATCTCTAACGAACTTCGCAGAATTATACAAACACTTCCTGGAGGGCGCTGAGACGTTCGACACGCGGACGTGGGTGGCCGCTGTGTGTGTTGTGATGGGCACGCTCGCTGTACTAGCAGCGGGTACTTGCGCGGTTCTATGCCGCGAGTGGAGACGCTCAGGTGAGCCGCGCCCGTAGCCGAGACGTCTGCCCCGCCTATACTTTCTCTTCTACGCGTAGCGGGTGTAGGGCGGGACACCGTAGCGCATATTCGTAGCATAGAGGATGGCGTAGCACGCGCCCGCGACGTTTGGATACACCGTAGGACGTTTCGATTCGTAGCAGCGAATATTTTCAAATTATGTAGTCGCTTAGTGCTACGGCGTAGCATTCGCAGCTAATATAAGACGCGGAAATTTCAGATACAAATAGATTCAAGCTTTATGTAGATTAAAAATTATTTCACAATGTTGAAACGGATGTGCAATTCTTTATATAACTTTAAATTCGTTTTAACATAAGAAAAAAGTTCTCGCACAATAATTATACATTACGTATACATTATATAGAATTTTGTAGTTCTTAGAAGGATAATTTTCCTATTTTGTAAGCACTAGCCTAAGTTAAAGAATCTCTTAAGTTTGTCACTAGTACAAGAACAATATAATGAGCAATATTAATGCAATATTAGGATCGTAAGCAAATCTTTCATAGGCGATATAAGTTTTAATAAAAAATATTATCGTTAATAAATAATAATAGGATTTATCTTTGCTGTAATCTTTTTGGTCTCATTTCTTTAATTAATGTTTAAAATGAACATACCATCATACAGCGATGGATAGAGATAAGAAACGTAATATCGGCCTAGCTGAATTATATAATAATAACTAATCTTATATAGCATGCCTAAAATTTAATTAATATATCTCGTGCCAAATATTGGACTGTTCAAAATCTTCCAATTGTCTTAAGGTAGTCTAAATACATTTTCTATAAAAATATAAAATAAAGTAAAATAAAATTGGCATAATATTTTACAATCAAACTTCGTGCCTTTAACTCTTTAACACAAGAATTGCCAATCTCTTCAAATATTACTATGCTTCTTTGTATTTAAGTCTTTTTAATTCCCTTTTAAAGTATATTATACATCGGGCCCTTATTATGAAAAGCAAGGTTCCTATTATTATATATATATATACACAAAGCGGCTAAATCGCTGATAAGTGGTCTCTTCCACGCAACCCAGAATAAAAATTGAAATAACAAGATTTGCAAGGAGGGCGAACCTAATTAAATGTATATTTAAGAAGTAGAAGTCAACTTTGAAGAGAATAGAAAATCTTGTTGTTGCAAACTATTTTCAATCTTATAGCTTAGAATCAAAGCACATTTTTCTTTTTAAGATATAAGGACCAAAAGCTACTAAAAGTCAATTAAAATACTAGATATTTCGAAATTCAGTAGATTAGTATTGCTATTATTAAAAAAAAATTAAAGTAGCTCGTAGAACATATAGCTTTAAGCTTAAGCTTGGTATACAATAATCTTGCCATAGCAAAGTAAAGCTACTTGGTCTGTGGACCTGTTAGGTCGTCCTTATTGAGAAATTATTCGGTGAGGTTCCGCTTAGAGAACCATCGCATCGTGGTGGTGAAAAGTGGAGAACCATCTTCCGACAGCTTGAAAACAGAAGTAACTTTGCCAAATGGCCGCGAAAGCCTTATACAATTTATAAATAGGAAAGTAGCTCAATTTTCTCTTTTTTTAAAAATTTGTTTAAAAATTATTAAGAATACAAATTTTAATATTTGATCTAGATTCGTTAAATTTAGACTCGATTAATATGGCTATAAGCTTTTCTTGATTTTATTGTATATACTGTCGACAAAAACTTGCAAGAGGCAGCGCTCTTTCAGAACAGTAACAAATATAAGCTATTTCCAACTTTTGGATACAATGAATATACGGCACTAAGCTTCCAGGGTATCTATCTTATACTATTCTTATGATCGTCTAGGACCAAATAATCGGCCTTCTAACATATCCTTCAATATCTTAACATAGATCTAAGACAATTAATCAGTAGATATACCTAAAATCTTTTTAGTAATTAAAAATTCCATTGCATTAGGCTCTGTCTATTCCATACTAAGATATTATGTAGATGAATAATTAAAAAGACCTTTTCATTCCAATTATTTAGATAAATTAGAGCTTTAAAAAAAAATCAATTCAACAACGCGCAATTTACTATATCATAGTTGGCAAATATGCACATGATCAAAAGGTCAATGACCGCTTAGATTAGGAGCGACTAAGGATTGCGATGTACATTACGCGCTAAGCCCAAATAAAAATAATTATATATATCGATCTATTATGTATATTATTAGTGTTAGGTGTACCTCTTTTGCACGTTTGAATAGGATTAAAAGTATTGAGACGGTATAATATGATGTTTTAATGATCAATGTAAAGAATAAAGATTCGGCTGTGCATACTGAAAGATTTTACATGTAAAATACAGTAATATATAGTGATGAACAATAAAATGCACCAAGTTGCCCCCCCCCCACTTAGTGAATAGTTATCCACCATGATGGTAAAGGAACCTTTACATTTAAGTAGACATTTAGTACATCTTGCTACATTGCGTTCTAGATATAGATTTTCCTTAAATATTATTCTTAACAATTACGACTAATTGGTATGCTAAGAATTTTTACATATTTGAAACGGGGAGATTCACTCGCGGCAAATGGCAACATGTTTTTAAAGACCCAATGTTCTAAATTTGAATGTTTGTAACTGTCATTTGTCAAAGAGTTTCTACGCCACAGAGTGAGTTTTCCCGCGCATGCATACTCCGATATATTGCGCGATTGATTCCGTTTTTATTCATTCAAAATTTTCTTCTTTCCTCCTATCGCACTCGCTTGGACCGCACGCTTGGATTCGGGGCACTAACACATTGGTGACGGTATGTATACTAACCCTATGAATGCTCCCTTGGCTATGCTAGTAGACTATACTGAAGACCAGGACGTTATAGAATTAGTGCCTAACATCATACTTAACCCTGGTTTTATGGAGAGCGACCCGGTGAGGCCTAAGGAACAGATCATCAAGTCCGCGGAATGCCCCGGCCCGGGTAAACCCAGGCGTGTTTGATTCTCGTCTATACTAAACCTTAGGATATTCTATCTCAGCGACCCGGGCCTATTGTCATGATCCTAGTACCATCGACAATGTAGAGGCATTTCAGAAAGGAGGTTAAAATTTCAAAATTAGACTTTTCAATAGTAACTAACGCTAACCTACGCAATATTATGTCCAATGAAAAGAAAGTTCCTTTGTGAATAAATGCTTCGTAATAGTAAAAAAAAAACCTCGGCAACGTATCAAAATTGTTTAATCGTATGTCCAAAACATTGGCAAGGGTAAATGGACATATCAAAGCTTATCAAAAGCTTAATTTTAAAGTGAAAAGATAGAATATTCTATGGTTTGTATTTTGAGGACTGTAACTAATTTTATCGCTTATCGAGTTATTTTTTCAACGATAGCCGACTTCAACAATTACCCAATTGACAGGGAAGATTTAAAATATATACATGTCAATCACGTTTTGTGTCAATTATTTTTCGATGTAGCGAAAGTGAATCGTATAAAAATAATTCGATAGGGCTTAGCTTAAACAATTGAGAGAGAATTTAGCATTCTAAGCGTTCAAGTATCGGGGTTGCCATGTAAAGCTTAACATTTTATTCGAATAAAATCGCTTTTGTATTAGTGTCTGGCAACCTCGGCACGTTTTTGTAGTGATATTGCTTACCGTTCGCAATAAATTGTTAATGTTGCTAGCTGTGTATATAATTATATTAATGAATATATTGTGATAGTGTTATTGTGTCATATACAATAGCTGCGTTTACGGATCTCATGCAATTATTATGTGATTTTTTCCCTTCCAAAGAAAACTAGTTTTTGTGTTGTCGCTTTTGTTTTGTGAATTATATTTTTATATATTTTATTTTGTTACTAATCTGTAGGAAATCGATAATACTTAAAATTCGAAAATTACTTGTAGTAAGCGGTTTTACTAATATGTGGCCCTAAGTATTTGCTATCAACGCCATCTAGCACATTCCAAGAGCAGCTTTAAACGAATAATAATTTAAAGACGGATTATTCGGAATAAAGATTTAAAAAGACATATTGTAAAAAATTGTAAAGCATTATTTTTGTACACATTACGTGCATATCACAAGCGCCTTAGAGAGATAAATATATCAACACTTTTTAATCGGTCTATATTGTTTAAATTTATTTAGATTTTTTGAATATCTATCCCCCAGGAATAACATCTATATAACTACTGAAAATATTAAAACCAAATGTATTTGTATTTGCACGACTATTTTGATTTTATGTTTGTAAAATACATTTTAAATTGCTTTGTTGTAATACCGACAAGAATAATTCATGTATCATGTACTTCTTAGTTTCCGTTATAATTATAGATGGCGCTTATAACTAATTTGTATATCTCTGTATTTTCCTCCGTTTCTAATCATATATCAGACATATTAACAATAAAATTATTTTTGTATGAGCGTGATATCATAAGCTGTTGAAATTAATCATAAGTACATTAGATAAGCGCTTTTATAGACGTAGGAATAAGGTATAATATCAATGGGTTGTTGAGAATTTGGCTTTCGTTATTTGGATGGTTTATAATAAAAGGAGAAAGCGTGTTTGGGTGGGTACTCCCCTGATTCCTAATGACGGTAGTTTTCGTCAAATGGTGGAGGGTAGCCCGACAATCAAGACTGGATTAAGGCATGGTGTGGAGGCGATTAATTGTTTATGCATTTGTAGTGTTTTCTATTGCACTTAGATAACTGAGGCATTTTTAACCTTATCTTAATTTTAAAAATGAACTAGAACTTGTTTATTCTTCTGTCCAAGCTTATTTCTTTCGAATCTATCAGTTAAAGTCTATCAGCTGATGGCCGAAATGGGGGACAAGATAATTTTTTTCTCCATTATTATGAAAGTCTATCTTCTTTTGACTATTTATCTTGTTAATCTGTCTTAAACCGTACAATTTCTAGGCCTATGCTATTTCGCATATGAAGATTCTGCTAATCTGACCCAGGGGCTGATCCCACCTTTAAGTATTTTGACTTCTGTTCTCGGTGCCCCCAATTCTAGGAATCCAGTAACATTGGTTTATTTTTATTTTTGTCTTTGGTAGAAAATTGTCGCATGTCTAGCACTGTGCACTATGTTGCATGAAACAAAGCTTTATCGTTACACAGGATTAGCTAGTATTTTTCATATATTTTTTACTGCTTTTAACGAGGTACGTAGTTACACCCACAGTGTTCAGAGCCGCTGTAATATAAACTGTGCTTTGCGATTTTTTACAAGATATTCGGTTACACTCGACGATGGCAACACTGTATCATATTATACTGTCTCATTTACTAAATTAGATAAGTCTCACCAGTTAGACAAGTGTGGCTTTTTGGATCATGCACGATTTATTTCTGTATTCAGTGATATAGCTGTGATGTATTTATATACATGTGTATTATGTATGTTATATGATTTAAGAAATGCATGATCTGTTGTGGAGTTACTGGCAACACAAAGCTGTACAATTACGCACGTTTGTCGAAGTTATTAAGGTTAGTTTTATAATATAAGTTATTTCATCAAACAATTAATCATTGTGTTAAGAACTTTTTAAATTGGAATCTTGGAAAAACATACACACAACAATAATTTAGTTTGACAGGGAAATCTGATTGTTGAAATGATGGAAACAGGAAAATGTTATTGCTCCATTCGAATGTACGGGACGTTTCCCATATGGCAAACAGTGTTTTTGCATATCATCGTTTTCCGGGCAGTTCGGCCGATGTGAGCGAAGAGGTTCTTAACAGCCCGAAAAACAATGATATGCTGAACGATGCCCTTGAAAGCCTTACACAATTTATTTCTTCGTCTTTTTTAGTATTTCCAAAACAAAAAAAGTTGATTTTCGAGGTCATGTCCCACCTGTGAAAATTGTTTAAGTGCTGACACTTATGACGGAAGAGTCAGCTAGTTCTCTCACCAAATCTCACTGGTTTACTTTATATTAAAGTAATGCGTTAGGTTAAGATCGCCTTTTATAAGCACGTCCACGATTTAGGGCAGCGAATGTACATTGATTTGCCTTAAAGTCACGTTACCAAAATGTTCTATTGATTGGCAATATTTTTATATAAGTAATCTTAAGGTTAGTTTAAGCGACGAACGTGAAGGGCAGAATAGTTATTTGTCTGGCATTAAGAGGTTTCGTAAGTCGCCTTTATCCGTTCGCCAAACTTCCCACCAACTTTCACGGAACGAATGGCGCTAGCGTAGCAGTTTATTACTTTGACGTCAGAGACACCCTCCATCTTTAGTCTTCTCGTGACCATTGCTGCCGTAAAGCATGCGAAACGTCGGCGAGGTTAAATTATTTTGAAATAAGTTCAAATAATATATATATTTATATCGCGTTTTAAACCGTTAAAGTGTTTTATTTAAATTTACCATCAATTTCTTAGATTTTCATTTTATGCAGAAAAGGGTATAAAGCGGTATGTTCCCTCTTTTCAGTTTATTAGCCCCTTTTAAAAGAGCTACAAAGAGTTTTTTAAGTGTTCTACAATTATTGATTAGGATATAATATAATGAATTTTTTTGAAGTTTTCGATTCATAAAAAAAGTTGTATGGAAAAAATTTAATAATAATTTTGTAGATGTATACAGTTAGTGGCGCACACGACTCCTCTTAAGAATAAATAAATTACAAATAATTCTGATTGAAGTAGACTGACCGACTTTTGATTTTCTGTCTTCCTGCTTCGGGTCATCCTAATAGTCGTAAGTTATGCGAATGAAAAACGCTTTACATGTTAAATCAATATGACATAATAGAAATGTGATCAATCGTTCTCATTGCGGGTCATAGACAATTTTATTAACAATAGTGGCATTATTACTACCACAGATTCAAATTAACCCCACCCCCAGCGTGTTATACTTACAAAAAGTACGAAAAAAAACTGTGATCATGCTCTATTGTCTATGGCCCACCACTTTAGTTTCCAACGAATGACAATTTTTATACGCATTCAGATATCACTTTTGGATATTCTATTACGATTTATTTTTGTTATGATAGTACATGTGCGTTGAAGATATCTAAGAAGACCAAATCTTAGAGATGATTTTGCGTCTGTAGTAGTGTTCGTTGTTGTGTACTACTCGCGTAAACTACAGACAGTATTCGTTGTGTCAATCCGGGTTTTATCAGCAAGTACCTTACATACAACACAGTAAGAAGATTTTAGTATACAAGCTTATATAAAAAAGCTTTGTCTGTTTATACTTTTACCTATGGTTCTCTAGTAAAGCTTTATTCAATTTTCCCGTTTTCCGAAACTATTTTCCCGTGCTATTTTATGCATACGCGACACTACTACAAACGCAGAAACGTTTCAAAGTGTTCTGACTTTTGTATTCTGTTTTGTTAGCACTTAGGGCTTGTACAATTGTTTTAAGACGTTATTCATCATTTCTGTATCATTACAATTTTTGTTGATGTAAGTCGGAGTATACCTACGCTTATATAATGGGGTTCTCATAATTGTTTACTTACGTACATACTATTATTATTTAGTACTACTGTATTATTTTTTAATTATATAATTTCCTAAAATATAATAAATATTATGAATTTCCAAGCCATAATGTGTTGCGTATATTCTGACCTCAAAAGAATCTTGTGATGCCATTTTGTACTGTGAAGAAAGTTATGATCGAAGTACAATGCGGTTTATACAGTTGTTGTGATGTTGGAATCGTTCCCATTAAACTACTTTTTACACAAATCTATCGTTTTATTTGTTCATTCCTAAAGGAAACCATAAAAAAAATATTATTTTGGACAATAAATCCACGAGTCCACAAATGAAAAGGCCCTGAAGTTCTACCGCTTTTCGTGTTTAGTTTATGGATTTCCGAATTTCCAAAACCAAAATAAGTCGACGGTGCGTCTATTTCATCTACCACAAAGAGACAGACAAGATGGGTGAATTCAATTTATTTAAAATAATTGACTTAATTTAAAAATCGAAAATAAATTGTATAGTTTTCGCCATCATGGGCAGATTAACCGCCATCGTAAGAATTCAATAGTTTTCTTTTTTTATTTCAATTTATTTTGATTTTAAATGTACTGCGTTTGTGCAATAACTGTAACAAGATATACTTTTTTCATATAGTGATTATTTAGGGGATTTAGTTTGGTAACAGGTATCATAGAAGAATGATGGAATATTTACCTGTTAGTAATTTTTTATATACATATATATACTCCGGTATCCAGAATTGACTTTAAATGGGTATATTTTTTGAGATTTAAAATCGATAAAACAAGCTTACTAGCACTTAATTTTTTTGAGAAAGCAATAAATGTATTAAGTTACATACTCTTTATTTCACAAATTAATAGATTATAGAGAAGAATAGATACATCAAGCAAGATTTGTTATACTATTGTTTAAAGCAAGATATTAACAAAGATTTTCCATCTAAAATATTATTATTTGTCTGTATTGCGTTGCTTCGAAATTTATCTTCAGGCGGGCTGATGTCACAACTACTCAAAGCTTCTTCCAGTTCAATAAGACCTGGATCATCTGGACTGAAAACTCTACATTCTTCGTCGAAGAACCTCTCCATCTTCAATCGTAGTTCTTCGTTGAAGCGACGTCTCTCAAACTTTGACTCTGTACTCTCAGATGTGTTGTCTAAAAAGCTAGAAAATTTATGGAATCAGAAGTGTGATTATATAACTACGTCCCTAGTAGTATTTTTGGTTCTTTCGTCAAGTCTTAAAATTTCAATTAGGTTTTCCTAATTATTACCAATTCATATGAGTGCTTTCTCAAAATAAATTATATTCTTCAATGATAGACAAGTTGGAGTTCCATCGAAATGGTAGGGATTACATTATATAACAACTCAAAAGGTAACTCTTTGGACATTCGGAAATCCACTGAGTGAATCAGATACGTGTTTAAAATTTATTGCTTTTTCATCTATGGCTCATGGTGGTTTGTGGCTTGGAAGGTATTTCGTTATTTCTTTCACCCAATTATTGTGAATTTAGATATTAAATAAAACAAACTGCAAGGCGCCACTCGAGCCCATATCAAATATTACACATAAGAATAGGTATGGTTTTTAGAATTGTACTAAAAGTTAAAAAAGCTTACTTCCGTTTTTTACCCTAGGCTTTTTATTTACCTACCTGTTTACTGAATCTAGATATCGAGATGGAAATGCATCCAGGGCTGTTCTTAATTCGAACCACGGGTCACTCAATCTTCTGTTCCTTAACTGAAAACTTTCCAACTTTATTTATTTGTTTCATATAAAATATACAATTTTTATCTACTAATATATATATTAGTAGATAAAAACAATTGTTTAATAATACATGTATACAACGTTTACGAAGATTACTAGAACAAATTTAAGGTTTAATTTCTCATTTTTATTACGAAACCGTATATTGATTCTTAAAAATAGTTTTAATCGGTGTCTACTCTATTGTAGCCTCAAAATTAATAATTACAATAAAAAATAAAAACCCTTAATCAAAATTGTATATGTGTAAAATATCTGGCACGGGGGCAACATATAGGCAAGATGTTAATCAGACTTCTGTGCCCTATCCGACCGAAACAATTTATTGTTATCTCCTGGATCCAAGCTCAAAAACTCTTCTGCTTAACGCAAGATGTTAGGCGACAAGTTCAATCAATTAATTATAAGCATATATTATATTTTTTTCTTCGCCTCACCCTTCTGTGTCGTCCATAATCTATTTCTGAATCCGTCATAGCCCTGGACAATGCCAGACTCGAGCCCGAAGACACAGTTTCGTCCAGGGAATTAAGAGAAGAAGTGCTACTCTTCACAGATTCCTCTGGTGACCACATGTATGGAGAAACCGTAATATCCGGTAACTCCAGGTTATTGACCAGCTCGGAACGATTCTTTGGGACTTCGTCAAATAGAGATGGAAACATGTCCATTGTAGAGCTGTAAGGACAAATATATTAAAAATAACAATATTTTGTTTTGAATTCCGAATCCTGATGAATCGGTTAGAGCACGGTCTGTGCCTTATTCCTCCAATTGAACTCTAGTTAAAACTAAAGTGTCCGCTATTAGAGATAGAATAGACGAATCACCTTATAAATTTTGGTTTATTTATTCTTTACTGCACTAAAAATAATAATGATACAGAATAAACACGTTTTACTAGAACGGCGTGCAATGGGCGGCCTTATCGCTAACAAGCGGTGTCTTCCAAGCAATCTAAGGTTAAAAAAAAATAGAGATAATGAGATGTGCAAGGTAGTCGAAGCAAATTTTGAAATACTTTCTACTTTTGAAACTAACCTAACTCAACTGGTCTTTAGATGTTTGCACGTAACTGTTTCATTGCACAGTTGAGACGAGGCAAAAATCACGTAAACCACTTGCTTCAACCTAAGTATACAAGACGGGAGTTTAGTCGATACGTGAGGATCACCACGCAACCAAGGTCAGAGTAAGCTTAGAATTTGAATCAATGAATTTGATACTATAGACGTAGTGTAGTTAAGCTACATCTGCCTTGAAGTTATTAGCTAAAGCTACGTCAATAAGCTAAACTTTTGAAGTTTATTAATGCAGAACGGAGAGCAAAACTTTAGGAAAAATAATATAATAATGTTAAGAAACCAGAATCTCATTGATAATTTAAATTGTCTGAAAAGAAGTGTGAGAGAATTGAGTAGTTTAGTTTTTATCAATAGTTAATATTAAATGGGTGGTAGGAATATCGGAAATTCAGTCCGAGTCACGAACCACCTCCACAATAAAGAAGCCGTAAAGTTTAATCGTTTTTTGGTTTCAGTCGGTGGATTTCCGAATATCCCATGTCAAAGAAGGCTTCTTTTTTTTCTTTTTTTTTTTTTTTTTTTTTCCTTGTCCCCAGTTGATGCCAGTAGCGTAGCTAGGTGGACAAGGGCCCCGGTCTACCTAATCCTAAGTCTCAAGAAAGAATCGGGTCCTCAAAAGAGGGGCTTTTAGCAGAGCGTGAATTAAATGAACCTCCAAAATTATAAATAGCAACAAGAATGTTTAAAAATCCTTTTTTCCACGAAGTTCTTAAAGATAAGATTAGAGGGCCCCTAAGTTCCGGGGCCCTGGTGTATTGCAACCACCTGGCACTACGATAGCTACGACATTTGTTGGTGCACAACCGGAGAAGGAACGCCTAGCCTCTGGATCAGATGGCACACACGGCGTTAATAAATACAAACTAAGTAAATATAATTATAATTTGTTACAGTTAGTAGTAGAGTAGGTGCCACACCTTACATTAATTTATTGGCACTTATTTTCTGATCAACAGCAATGTAAGGTGTCATTATTATTATTACATGGGCGTTGTCTGTCGAATGTGTGCCAAACACGCCCTTCCCTTATTGGTGTCAGAAATTACAATTAAATTATATATATTATGATTACATTTGTATAAGATAGCTTGATGGCAGTTTTTGCATCTGTACTTAGTACTAGCTGTATTTACTTGTGATTCATCTTTGGTGGAAAAACAAATTAAAAATTGATTATGAATTTATAAAAAAATAGCTGGACAGGACTTGGGGGGTGGGGGGGAATTGGGGGGGGGGGGGAAAAAGGGGCTTTTTTTTTCAAAGAAAATTGGTCCCTTTAGGGGGGGGGGGTTTTTTAAAATTGGGGGGGGGGAGGGGGGGGGGGGGGGTTTTTTTTTTTTTTTTTTTTTTTTTTTTTCCCCCTTTTTCCCCCTATAAAAATAAAATAAATTGATAACCAGCAGGACTTGGGGGTGTGGAGGAACCAAAAAAAAAAGAGAAATGTCTGAACACTACGAAGTTAAAAAAAGAAATCTGATAAAAAAGAAAAAAGAATGTTTTTTATTCATTTAATTTATTGATAATTGACCTGAGTAGTTGACATTGAGTTTACTGAGTTTACGTTATTACGGTTTCAGGCTTAAACGAAACCTTATAAAAGCTACATCTATTTTATCCTGAATGTTAATTTGTAAGATAAGGAATACCCGTTTAACCTGATAAAAACACCATTAAAACTTCTTTAAAATAACGTGAAGGATCGTAGGTTCTAATTCTGACAAATTATTAATCACAAAGATACGTATATAAAACAAATCAATCGATAAAATGACTCAAAGATTTAGATTTAGCGTAAGAAAGTAGTTTATTTTGAAAATCGTAATTTTAAACGGCTCTAAAAACCCAGCAATAAAACAAATGCACACCAATGTTGAACCATGCACAGCTCCGCCGCGACAGGCGACTACGAACGACGAACTAATCAAAAGTCTGAATACTACAGAGCGAATAATCGAACAAAAACAAAGGGTTCGCATTCACACAACAAGCAAAACAGTTTCAATTGCAGAGAAGTGTACTAAGACGATAGTTAAGAGCACAGCTGCCGCACGTTCGTCTGCGATATGAAGTAATCGACGTAACTATTAACTAACAACGGTCTAGGAATTGATTATAGAGCGAACTAGATATTAAAGAAAATTATTCTACACAACTAGTATCTTAAACCAATATTTTCGCATCGTTATTCACATTTCCCCTTCCACTCTGTTTCTGACGATAAATGGCCCAACCAACACAAAAAGAAGCATTAGTTCCTGAGATGAGCGCGTTCAAACAAACAAACTCTTCAGTTTTGTAATATTAGTATAGATTATAGTAAGAAACCAATTTTTACATACATATTGGTACAAAAAGCAGAGTTGGAACCCCGCTACGATACGCTTAATGCATTACGTCAATGCGTGACGTAGGAATTGCGATCTCCGTTAATATGGCAGACTGCCCAAAATCGGATCAGTCTTGTACGCGAGCGAGAACAACTTGTTTCTGTGTCAATGGATAAATCACGTTTTGTTCGCTAAAAGTTGCATATCAACTGAAATTGCGCAGTGTTCGGATAATATTAATTGAATAAGTTATGTTCGTCCCTCTCTATTACTATATTCAAATATAATCAGGTGATACTCGAAGAACCATGTAGATAGTCTGTGGAGTAACCGATTGTCAGTGTTGTCAATTTAGCATTTTACCGCTAGATTTGACGAATCTTCGAATTGAGGTAGATAATGTTATCACTAGATTAAATAAATGCTTTTTTTTTCTCATTCTATCGGTAATATAAGCAAATTTGAATAGGATTTTACTATTTATAATTCCACGAAATTTCTGATACGAGAATTTTAGTGCAAACAGAATACAGTTACATATTTTGGTATTAAACAAATACCTTATTATCATATCAAAATTAGTTACTTTTATTGGTACTTATGAATTGTTAACCTAATATAATTACTTAAGAAAATTTACCCAGCTACAGTTAAAAAAATATATAGTTGGTAATTTCTTTCTTTTTACGCTGACAACACTGATTATTCCCATTACGAAATTCGAATTTTCAATTCAGTCATGCGGTGATAGCGCGCGCAGATGGATGTATCCAACGGTCCGTCACTGCGATTACGCGGCGGCGTAACAAACTGTGAAAATAAAAGACACGACTTGAATGTGTGCACCAGTGTTATGCCGGCGGAGACCCAACGGCTCCTGCCGCCAACTTCAGAGACGATCATGACCAAGCCGTTCCCTATACGAGGTAAATATCTAAAAATACAATGGGAGACAGCTGCGTTCGTTCGCGGAAATCTGTGATCGAATGCAATGAATGGATTCGAGTTTTATAGAGGGCTCGCGTTGACAACGTTTTGATAGGCCTGTGGAAGTTATTTGTATATTATTAGTTACACTATAAAGTTAACAACTAAATACATTATTGGACTATTTAGTCAATTAACGTCTAACGTTGTACTAGTGGATCCATCTACTCACTGAATGCTCTGCCAAATCGGGGGGGGGAAAAAAAACAAAGGGGGGGGGGGGAAAATACGGGGGAAGGAATTAAAAAAATTAAAAAGGAAAAAAATTTTTTTTTTTTACAAAAAAAGGGGGGGGTGGGGGGGGGGGGGGGGGGGGGGGGGTGCCCCCCCCCCCCCCCCGGGGGGGGGGGGGGGGGGGGGGGGGTGGTTTGGGTGTTTGTGTGTTGTTCCCCCCCCCCCCCCCCCCCGCGGGGCAAAAAAAATGTACTAGTGGAATAGTAAGATCGACAAATCATATTGTATTCAAATTGAATTGGCGGATCTATTTTCGTACATAAAACAATATTTCAGCATTGCATGCAGACATAAGTTAACCTAACCTTTTTTTCGCAAAAAAACGACGTATTTAAAATATATTGAAATAATAGCATAAATCATTCATGAAATTGTAAAATAAGCTAAATTACGCCGACTGCGAATCTTGCTAAGATGTTAGGTATCTTCGAGTAAGTAGCTTGAGTGTTTCTCCTTGATCTGTTAAACTTAATATTAATTATTTATAACAATTAAACATCTATTACAATTAAACAATGTCCTTATGCTAAATGTTCAGAGCGATAAAGGTTTAAAAATAAATTATTATTAATCTGTCATTTATTTGGTATTTTTTTTTACATAGATCATCTAAAGTTAAGTCGCTTTATATCTATCATATATTATTTAACTAACGGCATACGTAGGTGCTTAATATAAAACTAGGCACTTATCAAGTTAATAACTTCAATTTAAATGTAGTAAAACTTAAAGGCGAATGAAATAATTATATTTTCTAGTCGCCTGACCTTCAATACGTTATTCTACCTTGGCTTAGAACTACGCATAATCCAATACAGTTTAATTGAACAATATTGTAATCTTACTTTACAATACTTACTTATAATACTCTCGAATTTATTCTACTAGATAGAACAGAAGAGGACGAACTTGATGGATTTTAACATGGTGTTCTGTCGAGCCAAAATGGCTTTGGACATTTGAAAATCCACAGACTGAAATCCGCAACCGAAACGCGGTTGATGTCCCTGCTATTTCATCTGTGGACGGCGGTTCACGATCAGAAACGTGTTAGTATAGTGAAACCAACATTTTAGTATAGTTTTTCATCATATATATAGAAAAGATGGAAATTGTTACTTTTTCATTTAACACATTTCCCGCTGTATCTTCGCTTCTATTAGTCACAGCGCGATGTTTTACAGCCTGTATATTCTAGCCATCCTGGATAAGTGCTCTTAACCAACACAAAAATAATTTTTCAATTCGAACCCGTAGTTCCTGAGGTTACAAACAAACTCTTCAGCTTTTTATATTAGTAAAGATTTACAGTAAAACGTATATACATCATATATTCTATATTCTAACAATGATGTCCGGTGGTTGATAGCAATAGCATTTGCAGTTAACCAGTGCTAACCCAACACAGTCTGGTTTAATTTAGTTACGTCGAAAACTGAGTTTGGTAACAACTCGAACCGCAAAAAAGCTGTTGTATGCGGAATCCCTTTGAATCTTACAGTTTAGTATCCAAAAGGTGTTGGTATCCTGCCCGAGTCGTAAAGTTTTTCAATTTATTACCATGTGAAGAATATTTAAATTTTCAAACGTTCTCATAAATTTAAACAACATTAAACATTTCATCATAATTCACGAGAGAAAAGCCTTTTCTTCATATATCCTTTCCTTACAGAACTCTAAAGAATACAATCTTAAACCATAAACGAACTTCTACGTTTTCCTAAATCCCTTTACAATCAGGAGCTTAAACAAACCGTAATACAATTACTAGATAAGACAAGATTAATGCATTTAAAACGATATCTTTAGTACACTGCACTTGTGATTTCACTCAAATGTCACATGTACAGTGATAATACTTAGAACGAGGTCACACTCATATGGTAAGTGTATTTTTATGACCCAAGTATTTCTAGTCAATCCCTAAATAAACAATCGAGAACTAGCAATAAACTCGCCCATATTCAAAATAATCACTAAATTTCTATTTAATTTACTATTTGTTTCCTGTCATGACGGGTTTTCCCAAGCATTCATCGAAAACAAATTGAATTTTAATATTTAAACTTCAAAAATCAGTTCCTCTAAAAAATCTGAAATTTAGTTTAGATTATTAGAAGAACTTACGCTTAATACTTCCGGTGCGTTCTAGTCACGTCGCTAGAGATAAGCCAAATCCAACCGGGATTCAATTCGTTCCCTGGGGAAAACGATACATTGCTTTGGTGGAGCACACAAGTCAATTACTTGTCTAAAATAAGTGAAATAATACAAACAGTAATGTTTGTCCCATGCCCCACATTTAGCCATCTTTAAAATTGAGAACACTTCAACGATCGATAAAAGCTTTTGTAACATTTTTTTTTATATCATTATATCGCGTATACGGTTAACTTATAACAAAAACTTTGATCACAATAATTCTATAAATACGCTCAGCAACGAATTGACCGGTGTAAGATTTTATTCCTGTTTACTCTATTTCGATAACGCCACGAACCTTGCTCGTGATTTTTCGTGTTAACGACATCTAATGGGTAGTTGGATGAATCTCTTTTTATTGGAGAAATTTGTTATCTTCCAAGCAGCTGTCACATTTATTTATTTTGACGAGAGATCTTTAGAGATTCGATAGCTTTCTAGACGTACCAATAGTTTTAATTCTCTTTTTATTTAAACGCTACTTGTTACAAATTGACTGTACCTAAATATGATCTTATGGCCTCCGCGAACGACTTAGGTTTTCACATGCTTTGTAAAGAACTTCTAAGAAAAGGAAAGTAAATTAGATATTAACGCGAATCAAATTATAGAAACGCGATTAAACTTCACGGCTTTTTCATCTGTAGATGGCGGTTCGTGGCCCGGACGGAATTTCGATATCCCAACCACTCATTCAAGATTTCCAAACGAAGTCCAACACGTTTCTAAAAAAATTGAAATATGACCGTGGTGGGACTCGAACCCTTGACCCGTCATACATTGCTACCATTACACCGACGAGCCCGTCATTCTACATTCCAATTTTTATACTATAGGTACGTCAGAAACCAGTTTGATAGATATTATTTATAATGATTAACAATGCCGGCCGGCTTTGTTTCATGAGTCAAAAGGCCATGGGCTAACCGCGTGCGCATAATCTAAATATTTACCGAATAACTTTTTATCTATGAAACGTCGGCCAAGAGTTATTAGTGCCAGTTTCGTTGTAAACAAATAGTTTCATGCATCTTATGAATGGCTATTATTTATTTGTAACAATATCTCACTATACCCACACAATAATCACGCACACCGCTGCGACATACAAGATAGCAATTTAGGAAAATGTCTTTCAATGCCAAACGTGAGAGGTTTTGGTTCGGACTTTTGGTGTAATGATAGCAACGAATAGCGAATAATCAACGAGACGAGATCCACCATTAAAAGAGTGGTAGAAATATCGAAGTTCCGTCCACAGATAAAAAAATCCGCGGGAATGTTGCTTTTATCGAGTTAGAAAACAAAGCTTAAACAGTCATAAAAATGTGTCCGCTACACTTTTTCCTATGATAGAGGAGGCCATACGAGGATGGGTTCTCTGGAATGGAATGTAAAATACTGCCGTATAAAATATTGGCAAGATGCTCTGTCTATCTATTTTAACACACAGCCTAAAACCGATACGCGATTAAACTTCACGGCTTACTTAGGACATAATCACAAATATCTTGTTTATTACCATAAGCCTTAGTACTTCCCAACCCAATTTATTGGCAAGCAATATGTATTTTATATGTTTTGTTGATTGATAAACAGCATGGATGTTCATATCACGTCATATTCATTCTCGATGTGGTTAAAAATACATTTTTTACAAATGGGGAAGAGTGCATTTAAATTTGAAAGACCCGTATATAATTTCCCTTTCTTATTAAATTCGTTGATTGATATCCTTTTCATAATAATAATGATAAACTAGAATTTTGTCGAAATTAACAAAACCTTAGATGCTGTCTATAGTTTATGCGAGTAGTACACATTTAAATAAAACACTTTAATGGTTTAAAACGCGATATATTACTTAAAATTACAACTTGTGAAACGTTGGGCCGGAGTTAAAAATAATTTTTAAACAAGTTTAATTAATATATCGCGTTGTAAACCGTTAAAGTGTCATCTTATTTGTTTATCACAGCTCAAATTTGTAATGTTCTCAGGTTAAGCGATTGTTCAATTTTATGACTCTTGCAACAAATGTTTTAATTTGGAACCAATTTTAAAGAACACGAACAAGTACGATGTTACGGTAATGTGATAAGTGATAATAATTTACCTAACTCTTACGTCACAAATCACGTGGAGGTGTGAACAGATAATGCGACTAATTTTAAATAAGCGAATATTAAATCCTTAAAGATAATAAATCTAATTAACTCATGCTGCGACGGCGTGCCATTGTTAAGATTTTCTTATCTTTAATAAGTAACGTTTTTTTGCTAAACCACACATATTTAATAATACTAACACACGGGTTCGGGTACCGCGGAATAAAACCGTGTAAATCTCTGAGAACTAATATCAGTAAAATAACATTTAAATTTCTTTTAAAAGCAATTATTAGGAAAACCAAAGAAAGGTTTACATTTGTGATTATTAAAATAATCAACATCTTTAAGTATGTCGATCTATTGATATGAATGTTTTGAATGCAATAATGAATATATTATGCGATCAATCAATCTAAATTGATAAACGCGAGGAAATATTTCCCAGCACGTGTGTCTCTCATGCAAGCAGTAATATGAGATAAACATAATATTATGAACGTCTTTACTCATCGTATAATGGCGAGCGGTTTAGACATAACTTGTTTCAAGATATATTTTTTAGATCCTAATTATAAAAAAATAAGCAATTGTTGAATTACGATTAACAAATAACAATTTGATATAATAAAATAGAAATAGTAACAAACATTTTGTGTGCTAATTGTTTTTAATATTTTAATCGACTGAGAAAAATTCTAGGTCAAGATTAACAACTCGATTTATTTAATGACGTCGATTGTTTCTGACGTCGATGTGGTGAAATTGACAATTAACACTTCTCTATGACCTGACATTACAGAAATGTCACTTCTTAAAGTCATAAAGTGCTTATCGGGCGATCGGCTGGCTCACAGTGAGTTGGAACAACAAAATAGGAATTAATTAATTTTCACACCAAAAACGTAAAATTGGTGCCGTGATCGTTTTATTAAAGTAATATAATAAGGGACTGACATGGATTTGGACGAAAACCGCGCGGAGGGCTGGAAATATCTTAATAAACAATTCTTCGGAGATGGTCAGTTGAATTATGATGTTATCAGATTTACTAGGGAAAGTCACTTTATTAAAGTCGATTAATCTAGCGAAGACAAAGGTTACATAAGTAATTTTTTTTGCATAGTTTACATATAAAATAAATCACGCGAACTTTATTTTTTATACAGTTTCGAGCGGGACCTCTGATTTTGTAAGAAGTGGTGTTATTTACCCAATTAAGGTTAAAAATATTGCTTCCTATACCTCAGTGTTAGCTTATTTTGCGTTATCTTTAATGACTCGTCTGATAAACGGAGCAATTAATCATGTAATGTTTGGTCTCTATAAAGGATAGCTTGTTTGTTATAAAGTCAACCTATGTTCTCTGCATTATGTCCATGTTTGTTATTACAGTGTATCACCTTATTTCTATACATAACTACTAATAGTAAATGGTAGTAATTGAAATAGTGAACTTTAAAATTGATTTTAAATAATTTAATATTTGATTGTGTTTTACATAATACAGTAATTAATAATTAGTATATTGTATAATTTGTTACTCTCTTGTAAGTTTTTGAGACTGAGAAAAAAAAGTATCAATAATGTTTGTTACTTCTGAGTTGACAGGTTTATTTGGCATATTTGCATAATCGGATTGATAATTTAAATATCTTTCCTATGGAGGTCTCCTTATTCTATTAGTGTGAAAATACATAACAGAAGTTTCTAATCTAAAATGAATATATACACTTAGGTTTATTAAAAACATTCTATGATGTTTTTATATTCCTAAAGTGAAATATCAAGCAAAAATATAAAAAAAACAATTTTAACAATTGTTTTAAAAAACATTATTTGTTTATTTGATTTCAGGGGAACGAGCAAACTATGTTAACATTCCGCATGTGATAGCTATGGTCGGATTACCAGCTCGTGGCAAGACATACATCTCTAAGAAGCTGTCGAGATACCTTAATTGGATAGGAATTAATACAAGGGGTATGTTGTTTTTGATGGTATGAAGTATTGTTGTTGTATGTATAATGCTCTAGTAATACTAGGAATAGAAATAATTGTTTTGTATTAATTACCTTTTGTTTTACTTTTTGCACATGTTTGTCTTAATGATATTACTCACAGTGCCAATGTTATAGAAATAAATTAAGTTAGCTGTCCTTCAAAATACTGAATTCTTTAGTACCTAAGGAGGGCAAGACATATATATTTCTTGATTTATATTTTTAAGGAAAAAGTACATTTAAAGAAATAGACAATAGAAAACAAAACAGAGCCCATCACAAGTTTCCTCAAATAGATATAGAATAAGTACTGTAGACAAAAAAAAACAAAATATGTGAAGAAGAATTTTAACTATACAAAAACAACCATGCAATCACGACCACCAAGCAAAGCCGATATAAAAAAAATGCGATAGGTACAAAAAACCATTAGAAGTCAATAAACAAAAAAATATTTTAAATTTATCAAGACAAAAAAAGTATTTATTTATTGGAAAGTAAACGTCGTGCTTTTCTAAATGGGGTACAAAAGACTATAAAGTTATTTAGCAATATACATAGGCACAATTCTGTCACTATGGGACTTTTCCATCACTGCTTCAGGTTTGCATCTTAAGGGAAAGAAAATATTTTTCAATTGATACTGAAGAAGGCACAGTTAGCAGCAGATTACATGTCTGTAAATAAAAATTGTCTCATGCCTTTTCTTAACCTATTTCATAATATAAATTTCAGTATTCAACTTGGGTGAATACAGACGTCACGCTACAACTGCATATACAAGCCATGAGTTCTTCCGAGCTGATAACAAGGAGGCGATGGCTATCAGGCAGCAGTGCGCGCTGGACGCCCTGCACGATGTCTGCGAGTGGCTTGTCAAGGGTGGGGAGGTGGCTGTGAGTATCCTAGACAGAGTCTTTATCGCATACATCAATTTGCTCTGAAGGAAATTTTTACAAGCAACATATCCTCTGAACAGAGAAATGGGTGCAATGGTCAGAAAATTATATGTGTTGATCATTCTATTAGTATAGTGAGCTTCCTACTAGAGTCCCAAAAGAAAATAATAATAATACAAGTAGCGTATGTGTTTTATGTAATTTACCCTGTGAAGCCATATTATTTACATTATTTGCCCACAATAAAAGTATCCTAATTTATAAAATTATTAAAAAGGAAGAAATACCATCCTTTTGGACTTCCTCTTAATCTCTATATTTTTATTACTGTATACTATTCAATCAAATTTTTTTAGGTATTTGATGCAACAAACTCAACAATGGAACGACGGCGCATGATTAGAGAGATTGTTGTACATAAAATGGGTTTCAAATTGTTTTTCGTTGAATCCATTTGTGACGACCCGAGGATAATTGAACAGAATATAATGGTATGTTTTCATGGTACCATTTATATATACAACATTTTACCTACTTTAATTCAGCCTAGGGAATAGTCCAGGCTAATATTATCAGAAATTATCATTATCTCAATTTGGCTATCTAACATACCTATAAAAAATTATTTATAACAAAGCTCTTATCAGCTTTGCTGTAAAGTTTATCTCTTTTACCATATTGTGTTAATTCTTTCAGGAGGTAAAAGTGAGCAGCCCAGACTATACAAACATACAGGACACTGACAATGTTCTGGATGACTTCCTTCTACGAATAGAGCATTACAAGGAGAAGTATGAGCCCTTGGATGAAAGTCTCGAATCTGAATGCAGCTTCATGAAGATATATGATACCGGGGAGAAGGTTGTAGTTCACAAACATGAGGGTCATATACAGAGCAGGATCGTTTACTATTTAATGAACATACATATTGTGCCAAGGACTATTTATTTGACAAGGGTAAGTTCTTAAATTTTATAAAACTACCCACACGTTAAATGTATTTATAATTATGGTATGTATGGTTCAAAACATATCATCAAATGACATGCACGGATAATATATCATGTTTGGGTACACCAGGGAGAAAGCTGATATTTTATTAATAAGCGAGTTAGGTTGGCCTTCTACCACAATGCCTGGACTGAAAACTATTCATTGTTTCCCCTTGGAATTTTAATCCAAGGCACATTTGCACATTCAACCATTAAATCATGAATGCCTTTCATTTTTATAAAGGTCCATTTAACATTTTCTTTTCATGTAGCACGGAGAAAGCCTACACAACCTAGTAGGAAGAATCGGAGGTGACAGTGAGCTGTCACCACGCGGTCGACAGTACGCGAGTGCGTTGGCTACCTATATAGAACAGCAACGCATCCCTGGTCTAAGAGTGTGGACGTCGTGGATGAAACGCGCTATACAAACTGTCAAAGATGTCCGTGCACCGCAAGAGAGGTGGAAAGCGCTCAATGAAATTGATGCTGTAAGGATTTTAATTCTTATATTTTCAGTATTGTCAATTGACTCTTATCAAAATAGTTTCAGCCATGTCAAAGTTACAATAGAGCAAAGCGACAACAAATGTATTTAATGTATGTTATGTATTTAAATGCGTTGTACATTTAAATAAAACGCTTAAACGGTTTAAATTGCAGAATATATTTGTTAAACTTATTTCAAAATTATTTTTATTATGGCCCAACGTTTCGTATGTTTTTCAGCAGTCGGCAAGCTTTGATACACTAATATATTTCGCGTTTTAAGCGTGTTTTAATTAATTGTTTATTCAACTACCAAAAATGCACTTGTTTTGGTTTTTTAAATATATTTATTCATGAGAAAGTAAAGGCTTTTTCTCCTATTCTCTTCAGGGTATCTGCGAAGAGATGACCTACGCAGAGATACAGCAGAAATACCCCTCTGACTTCAACTCGCGCGACGCCAACAAGTTCGCCTACCGTTATCCACGCGGTGAAAGCTACGAGGACCTGGTGGCGCGGCTGGAACCTGTCATCATGGAATTGGAGCGGCAGGGTAACGTCCTAGTGGTATCACATCAGGCAGTGATGAGGTGCCTCTTAGCTTACTTCTTGGATAAGTCTGCTGGTGAGTTATAAATGTGAGGGTCTGCTCTTCGGGTGTTGTGGAAACACAGGAGCTCAAAACCCTTCAATTTCAGATGAACTTCCATATCTCCACGTGCCTCTACACACGGTGATCAAATTAACTCCGGTCGCCTACGGCTGCCGAGAGGAGCACATCAAACTCTCAGTGGATGCCGTCGACACACACCGGCCCAAACCCTCTGTATGTATACAAAAACTTTTGGAACAGTTAATAAATTATGTTTATAAGTCTTAAGACTACAAACTACATACACAATAAACTGATTTATTCTGGTTTAATTCACTGTTGCATTTCTTCTATAAGCACAGAAACATCTTTAAGATAGTTTCAAAATTGTTTTCGCTGAAGGATTATATGCATGATATTTTTCAAGTTATACAACAGCATTGTTACCATAATATTTGGTTGATACTAGAAATTACAATATGTTAGATTTGTTTTTAAGAGTATTAGTGACCGTGCATATGATCCTATAGCATAAATACTATAGTATTGTTTTTCCATGCTTAATTTCAAAAATGTCTAACAGGAAGAGGAAGAAAAAGATGCCCAGGAAAATGTACGACACTTGTGAATGTTGCCTAGTTTATTAGGTAGCAATAAGGTATTATGTGATACGACAGGACTTCATTACGTAACGCGTTATGGCTCTAATCCGTCTAACTTCCAATTTTTATATTAAATAGATTTACTTGCATTAATTTAAGTTAGCAGTTGTTAAGCTTTTTTAATACAAAAATAATACACAAGTGGGTCTTGAATCTACGACACCTATGTTGATGGCCTGTCACCAATTTTATGTTTTTGACAGACATAATAATTTACTGCCAATAATCATAGGTAACATTCACAGGAAAATAATTAGATCAGAATTGGATTGTAGGATACCACCAGAACTCAAAGTTAAGTTTTCAAAATTTTTGTTGGGCTGGGTTTTGGCTGGGGCATTTTGATATCGTTGTTGTTAAGCACTGCTTAATAAAATGCATTTTGCACAGATATAATTTTGTCTTTGTGAGGAAACGTGGAAAAATTGTGGAGGGGATTTTGACACTTGTCACAATATTTGACATTTGTACGAGATGTTAAAAAAAGTGTAATTTTGCCTTGCACAGATAAAAGAATGGGAAAGCGTGCCTTGCTTGTGGTTTTGGTGATTTTAGTATGCGCTGATGCAATTCAACCATTAGATTAGATCACAGTAGATCGGTGAACGGTAGATCATCTCACCATACGCATAGCACATCGGAAAATTTCGTGTGCTTGAAAATAGTCAAGAAATTCTAGATGTGTCTTTCTTGTTTTCACTTTTTTAATCATTGTCAACTGCAATTATAAAAGGAAGTGCGTGTTATATAAAATATAAATTAATATTCTCTTCAACTATATATATTTTTAATTAATATATATATCTAGATAATTTTATTTTCTCTAACGACGAATAAATTGCACAACAGTTGTTTATCAATACATTTTTCAACAAGTTATTTTATATTGTGCAGTATATAATACATAATTGGTTCTTCCCACAGGTGATACCAGCCCCACCTATAAAGCCCCCTGTACCACCAATTCTTAACGGCGAAGCTAATGGTGACAAACCAAACGAACACTAGATGATGCTAAGAGGAATTCCTGGAAACGGAACCAAACTTAGTACAATTAGTGCAAAGGGGAATTCTTTAAGCAATTTAGCGCTGGTGATATTACCATAGATTATATTATATGCTCTATAGATTAAGTGCTGTAATAATTAGAGCGTTTCTAATCTTAAGTTACTAAAAAGCATAAACACTATCATACAGCATTGGTGAGGATCTTAAGAAAGTTTTGTATAATCAAAATCTTTTGTAGCTAATCTATAGAGTGTAACTAATATGTATGGGTAGACGATATAATTTTGGATATCAAGTTGCCAATACCAAAATATCTAAATGTACATTTTTTTTTGGTATTGGCAATATAGTATCTCAGCAATCGAATTGAACAGGGCTATTATTTCAGGATAGACCACACACTTTAATTTTTGGTTAAAGGCTACATACAATTTCTAAAAATCATGTTTAAAAGCAAACTACAGCATATTTTTTGTTTTTGCGAAATAAATATTTAAAAGATCTTGAAATACTAGCTTTGTCTATGTTTTATTAGCTAGACAATCATCATAGACAATTTATCAATGTAGCTTCTGACCAATAGCGAATGGGCATTAAGCTGGTAAATGACTTGCCATAGACAATAATTAGCTGTAACTGTCACAAAAAGGATTTGTTTACTCAATTCGGCTCAATCGTAGAATTAAATATTGTCTATGGTCATTGGGTCATTCGAAGAATATAGAATGAGACTGATGTTAAGTGAAAGTACTTTTAAGTCATTATAGACGACGCCGTGATAAAATTGAAATTTAATTTCACCATTTTCCATTGTAAAAATAAATATGACGCGGAGTCGCAATTACGACAGATTACTACCGACAGACAAAACTTCTAGAAAGCAATTAATCCAAAATTACTGCAGGATTATAAGTTGCTGATTATATGTATGCTTACCTTCGGTATGAAATACCATTTTTATTGCACCAAAGACTTGTTGAACAATTTGCACACCCACTTTTATTAGACTATAGATAATAAAATTATATAATATGTAATGTGACTTCGCAATGGTATATTTTTGTAAATCTCGATTGTCTATATTCCCGCCATCATTATGATTATATTTAACAGTAACTATGATATAGTTAAGGGTTTTTATAAAGTGGCTATACGTTGATTGTAAAATTATTGTAATAATTGATTTATTTAATATTAAATATAAGTTTCTATTAAGTGTAATGTGTTTTTCTTTTCATAAACAATGAATCCTATCTTGTGGTGTCTTAGTAAGTGAAGATATATTTTTAGTAACCTTCTAGAAACGAAAGAAGTAGGAAGTCAAAATTCCGTCCTTGTTAGAAGAGTCAATTTCCGTTTCAGTTTCAAGTTGTGAGTAAAACATAGCTCGACACCGCATCTTGTTTAGATGGCTATTTGAGGTATCTTACCATCCATCCAATTGGTAAAGGGCTTGTCTACCCTTTTCCATTAAGAAATATATTAAAGAATTTAATTGTCAGACATATTTAGGCTTTACGTACTTGACCGCCTATGTAGCTCAGACGTCATTCCTAAGAAAACGGAAGCAGAACTTCTTGCCTCCTCTCGTACGACATTTAGAGATAATGTTACCATAGCAACCAGGCGAACCTGATAATATTCTTTTAAAGTTATATCCATATCATATTGTATGCAGGTGACCTAGATAAACGCAGCCTGTAGAAAACAAAATAGGTCGTATTAAATACACATCACGTAGGTACGTAGTTAGTGCGTCAGTCCACTCACGGTACAACATAGCTAGCGCGTATTGAATATGAGCAATCAATAATCCCCGTATAGATAACGCAATAACGCTAGCCAGAACGCCGTATATATACCATACCTATATAGCATCGCCGCTTATATTATTAACTACTGGGCCGATGTAATTCTTTATGGAAGTACTCTATTTGGTCTAAACATGTTCTACTAATTCTAGAATAAGGGGGCAGAAGATAGCTACTGATAGCATTATGCCGTTACAGCGAGAACACACTTTTATGTGGAAAAAAAATGTAAAGTATTTAGTAAATACACAGGTATTCGAGTGAAGACTTGCCTAAGAGTAACTTAAAGACTACAAGCTAGGTCATCTGTTAGGAGACATCCTACCTATAACATATTCCCCGAACCCTGTATCAATCTAAAGATATTATGTGCCTTGTATGTCTGGCGGCATAACTATGTTTCTGTGTTTATTTGTTTAAAGCTTAAGACAAACATATAATTTGAACATAGATCTTCAAACCAAATTCTCTTTGAATACTGAGTATTTAAAGAGAATGTATATTTTGTGTTGTACAATATATAAAGTTTATTTAATAATATAAAATCGTAGATCGTACATAACAAAAATTCAAAATTCAAATTTATTTCACATATAAAAAAAAGTGTAATGACAAGTATCGATTTTCTTATTGATTATCTATAATAGATCAACTTCACTAACTGTCAAAAAATAACAGCTGGCTCTGACATTTCATTTTAAGATTCAAGGGTCGAAGAAGCAAGGGTCAAATTGAAAAATATAATTTTAAAATATACATGTTGAATTGCTTTTAATTACATAACTTCAGGTAGTTTTAATACAACCAACTGCAGAAAAATGTTCATGCCTAATTTGGCAACGTGGTAGTGATAACGTATTGGATTTATGACAAATATTATTTCAATAACACGATGGTCTCGACATTACAACTGCAAGAAAAGTATAACAAAAGTGCGTAATATGGTCGGTTATTATGATATTTGCTTTGGAAGAATCATGTGCAACAAGTCTTTTATTTGTTACAGTTAGAAATAACTTCTGCTTTTATTTGGATATACAAGAACCTGCTTTGTGTCGTTCAATATCTCGAAGATTACAGGACATGGGTCTAGTAAGTGCATACAATAATTTTCGCGCCAAATTACTAATTCTCCCCATTTGCTATAAGCAACCTATCGATGAAACTATGGCATTACATTGTTGTGTACGTATTTGTTAAATATTGTGTTTGGTTATATATATTAACAATTTATTATAGATAAATTGGCACGTCACGGTTACCTTCTTCGGCCATAGATTTCAATGGCTTCTTAAATTGGTGTCATTTTAATGTCATATATTCCATTTCATCGAGTAAATTTTTAAAATTGACGTATAAAATAAATTAAATTTATTAATTTAACTTAATAAAATACTGCTTAGATCAAAATGTTTGTGGCTGTGGGATAATGGAAGGAAATATAAGCAAATAATTTAAAAAATACTCTTATTCCCGCAATTAATAAAGAAAATCTCCGAGATAGCTATACACATGCTTTAAAATAATAGTATCTTTATTTTCTGTTTAAAAGAATTTGTTATTCCTGTTTGCTTGTTTAAAACCAATTAATTATTCCTTTTTACGTGTAGCGGAACGCTATTACTACTGACCAATCAAACTCCTTTCCCCTTCCATGCGACAGAGCGCCTCTAGCGGCAGAAACAAAAATTACAGCAAAATATCTCCATCTTGTATGACAGATTTGTGTTTGTTGTTACTTTTTCGAATATAAAAGGCAAATATATCTTAATAAGACTAAAAACTATTTATAAGTCAAATTTATGTGTTAGGTAATGTAAAAAACAATTAGTGTAGTGAATGTTTGTCGTGTACATAACAGTTATATGTAATTCAAGCAGTGACGAAGTGAACTGTCTCTGTGACTGGTATATAGTTACTTATTTTTGTGATAACCGGAGCGCGGGGGCATTGCGGGCGGCTTTCCTGTGAGTATATGCGAGCAGCGCTAACGACACGAGTCGTTTTGACTATTATTAGAGTCAGAATTGGTTAGAAATTGCATTTTAAAAGTGTTGTTTTAGCGGCTAGTTCCGCGCGTAGCTTGTCGTCGATTTTAGGTCATCTTTTGTACCGTCGCGTTGAGCGGCTGTCTCGGAGCGAAATGCAACGGGCCGAGGCCGCGCGCCGCGTTCAATCATGCCGAGGTGCGTTGCATTATGTCTGAATAAAAGCTGTTTCAAATGTAGTTTTCTTAAGCTAACGCGCGTGTATGCTTAATTTTTGACAGTTGATATAACTATGATAATGTCAAGACGATTCCGTTCTTATTATGTTAAGTGAAGGGTGAGATTAGCGTGGCAGTGTGCTTTGTGTTATTTTTTTGCGCGGGACGGCAAGTTGGCGCGACAACGCGATACTTTGCTTTGGCGTCGATAACGCTGTGTGTATTTCAAGGAAAAGTTACATTAGTGCGTGCCTTTCGTCGCTTTAAAATAATCGGTCAAACGACCACCACGACACTTATGTTTCTTCATTGTTTTGATAAAGTCCACTTGTTGTTACCATCGGGCGCGCGGCGTCAGCGATACGAATGGAAAATTTCAAGTTGCATTCTGCAATATGTATTTAGGTCAGAATTAATCATTTATAAGCAATTTTATATTCACTGCACAAGTTCACAACAAAACATTCCAAATTCAAACACTTCCTCTATCTAAGGTGACAGTTCTTATTAGAGTTGCCAGTATGTGATTAATTATTGTAATCAATTTTTTTGTATTGCTAAATATTTTAGATATATTTTTTACAATGGCAATTATCATATATTTTTCTAAGCAACTATGATTACGAAAATTTAAATGAATACATTTGTATTAGATTTTACGTATTAGAACTTTATAGTATTTATGAATAAAGGGATATTCTAACAAAATAAAAACTAATTATGTCTTAATGAGCTCTCCAGAAGAATAATCTCAACCCACCTATGTATCTTAATCATACTACATTATGCATTAGAAGTCCTTGGTTTGAATCCCACAGAAAGTTGAAATATTCTTAATCACTGTCTGTTACACACTCTCCAAGTGGGGATAAGGGGCTTGTAAGCCTATCAATAAAAGTAATAAATACTGTTTTCTCAGCAGGAAGAAGTGTTCCTGACACAGCGGGTAACTCACGTTGTATTGGATCACAAGACTGGCATCAGCACACCAAAATGGCCGCGTCGTGAGGGTAGAGCGCGCGTCGATGCGATGCTTGAGAGGCTACGTGTCCAGCCACCTCCGAAACCAGCTCAACAGAACTATATCCAGCTCACTGTTCAGAAGGTTCAGTTCATTTCATGTTTACCAACAATGTTTTCTGAAATTGATTTAGTTGTAAGCTGAGGAAGAGTGCTATGTTGTTTGTATACTCTTGAATTTAGGTAAATTATCATATCTCTTGTCCTTAGAAGTCAAGTCTCTCTTTTTCACAATTATTGAGCTACAGGCAAATAGGTCAGCAGACACCTGTGGCTTCCCTAACCAAAATAATTTTTCAATGTTTCTCCAAAATAACAACTTTTTTATGCCTAAGGTCAGTGTTAAGCAATTCTACTTTGCCTTAAAGGTGGTTTGGAATATACAGTTAAGAGATTCTTGAGATTTCAGATAGTAATAATATTGTTTATAGAGTAAATATTTCTTGAACTTGAATTATTTGACTGATAACCATATCAAAATAACTTAACAAAATTACCATTTTATATTTATAAAATATTATGTAGTAGAATAGTTAATTTTATTATTTTTACATAGCATGAGTATAGTTAAGTTGCATGCAAATTAATTCTATTAATGTTAGAGAATTTCCTTTCTAGCTTTAACTCTATACTAATTTGTACTTCTTAGCCTCATGTCAAAATTATAATTAACTATTGAATAAACATAATTATTATAACAATAATTATTTATATAATTTATTATAATTCACATAGTGTAAATATAATTAGGAGTTTGTGGGTGCTTTCCATACATAAAATTAAATTCTTTTGCAATGAAATATTAAGGTTTTTCTATTGAATGAGGTTGAGAAATGCTACATCTCTGCTTTATATGTATTCTTACAATGTATTTATCATCTTTCAGGCTATAAGTCTTTTGGATAAACTGTATGACACATTCTTCACGCCGCGTAAAGTGCACGTCAACTACTTCAGTAAACATTTTATCAAGATTGAGTTTTTGGACAAGTATGGGCTAATTCAGAATTAGTTAGTTGGTTAAATCTTGATTTTGCGTCCAATAACCATTTCTTATACTTTACAGACCGTGTCGGCCAGTGTATAAGGAATTTGACGAGTGGCCCCGGATCTCATTAGAACCTGACTCTCTGAAGGAGGAAAAGAGGGAGGTGCTAGACAACACCGTAGCAATTCCATCCAATAATAACATAGCTCCCAAGTAAGTTGTTAATCATAATCTACGTGTTAATTTCCGTTTTTATTATTTATTCTGGGCTATATGACATTCTTTTAATTTAAAATTTTCAGATTTATTTTTTTTCAAGTAGTATTGACCTGACTGACAGTTTTAAAAACTTTTTAAAAATGTATAATTGTGTTTAAGTCAAGAAAGGCGGCTTTAAAAATAATTTTACATGTTACAGAATGACAAGAAAAAGTCGACCGCGTGTCAAAGAAAGGGAAATCAAGGAGGAAAAAGGCGGTTACTGTGAGATGTGTAATGTAGACTATGCCGATGCAACCCTTCATAGAAGATCCCCACATCACTTGGCATTCGTTCGAGACCACGCCAATTTCTTGTCCCTCGACTCTCTTATAACTTCTGGTGCAGATGTAAATACGTTTCTTGACAAGGCAACACCTGTAAACGGTGAAAGGAGGTCCCTTAGAAAAATATGCAATGGTGATGTGGAACCGAAAAAACGTTCTAAACATTCTCAATCTCCAGATGGCATTAATGGCAAAATCAGTCCAAAACGAAATGGTGGCATAGAGGAAGAAAAGAAACACAACACAAGGTGTAGTAAGAAAACCAGTGACTCTACTCAGTCTGAAGACCGGCAGTATTATAAAGTTGTCGGAGTTAGCACGAAACTGAGATCTAGTGGCGGTTTCATAAAGAAAAAGGATCCAACATTGTGTAATGGTGCTAAACCTCTAGTTGTAAAGTTTAGAAAAGTGCGTAGATCTGAATTGTCAGTGTTGAGTGATGAAGCAGAACAGTTCATGTTTCCCAAACGTGCCAGTTCAAGCAGTTCCACTTCATCTGATGAAGCCATAGTCAATACAAAAACAAGGAAAAAACAGTCACCACAACTACCGCCCCCTGAAAGGCAAAGATTGGCTAGACCTATTGCTTTAAAAGAGGAGTCATCTGAAGAAGATATCTGGCCTGATAAGCAAAGAAGGAAAAGGCGAGTCCCCTCAGGTATAAAAAGGGTTCGAAGAAGAGTAATTCGAAAACCACCATGTAAGCCTCCCGAACCCGTAGAACCAGATCCTCCTCCTCCTAGGGTGCCTGAACCAGAACCAGATCCAGATCCAAGGCAAGAAATCAGTCCGTTGCGAGGGGAGGCGGAGGAGCAATGTATGAAATGGGAAGATGGACGCTTAAAATATACACCAGCTGTTGAACAGCTAGAATTTGCATTCGAGTCTGTGCCGCAGAGTGAACCTTGGTTTGAAACTTTTAAACGACAAGATCAAGACAAGGTTGTTGCTAAGAATGTTCCACAATATTTTGGTAAATATGAAACTTATTACATTTCTTGGTATAGAGAATAACACATTTTAATGTGGTTCATTTAAAAAGTGTAGTATCAATGTTGCAGGATTTTGCTTAAATAATCTTACTACCTAGGATCATTCTCATCGGTCACATGAATATTGCATAAAATTCTATTTGATATAGATAAACAACATCTATATATTTCACCGCAGTTATTATTACCGATTGTTAGTAACTACAACTAATACTGTAGATGTCTTTTGTCTAACATAAGAATGCGTTAATAAATTAATATATATTAATCTAATATATAAAATTCTCTTGTCACAGTGTTAGTTACTCCTCCGAAACGGCTTTACCGATTTTCACCAAATTTTATATGTGTATTCAGTAAGTCTGAGAATAAGACAACATCTATTTTTCATTCCCCTAAGTGATAAGTTTAAGGGTGAACAACCCTTGTTCACCCTTAAACTTTTTTTTTATTAATTTTTTGACAATTTTTTTTTTTAATTTTTTTCTAATGTGGCATTAAAAAATACATACAATCCTCAATTGTCACCCTTCTACGATCAACCCTTACTTTGTAATAGCCATTTTAGTAAAATTATTTATATGGCAAATCAACATTTGCCAGGTCAGTTAGTAATGATATATATTCTGATCTGTTTGTGTATCTTACATAAATAAAAATAGAGGATGGAATGGAAATATACAATTTTAGGTTCAACAAGATTTTTTGTTTGTTGTTACAGCGCTCTACTCAAAGTCACCAAAGTTACCATATGAAATTGGTCAGTTACCACCACTCAAGCCAAATTGCTGTCCACTCAGCGACTTAGTAAAACGAGAGGAAAAACCTGGGCCGTCGAGGTCATACGGTACTAGAGGTATGAAGAAAAAGAGGATTACAAAACGAGCCGCCGCTATCATAGCTATGGAGAGTCATCCGCGGAAGTCACCGAGGGAACACGCTTCTACCCTGGCCATATTGGGTTCAGCCGGCCTACTCCACAGGCGTAAGAATGATGATGCTAAATCCACAGCGTCCGAGGAAACTCTCAGCGATACTCATTCAAAGCTTGAACCTGTTGTCTCAGAAGCCCAAGAAACATCAGAAAGACTGCAACAATTCCTTTCAGAAGTCTTCGAGGGGTCAGACTACGACGTCTCTGAAGATGTGATGGAAAACGACATTCCGACCATTACATCTCGGGTGGCGCCGGACGTGTCCAACTTAGTATCCGAGTGTGAGAATTGTGATATCATTCAAAACGAAATGAAGAGTACGGCGAAGACACGAGAGAGACGGGGCAAGTTCAAAAAGAAGAACCGAACCGGTTGGCCGTCTAAGAAGAACAAGAAGAAAGGCTCTAGAAACAGCAGTATGGATGAAAAGGAAGGTTTGGATCGAAGCCTGGAGACATTGAGTGAGACAGATGAGAACCAAACGGAGAGCGAAGAAAAGAACACTCAGGAACTAGAGTTACCGTGCCCAATGGATGACCATATCAATAGTAAAAATGTTATAGATAATAAAAGTACGACTGACAAGAGGTCTTCCGACAGTGAGGAGAAAGTAGAAATAAAGAGGAAAAAACGCGCGTTGCAAGGCTTGTGTGATTGGCTACCGGTTGTGAGGGTGGCAAGAGTGGACCCTAATGCGACGAGGCGGCTCCGTTCTGCCGGTAGGGGGCGCTTAAGTAAGTTCAGATAGCATCACCTTCGTACTAGGCTTGGCTAGTGAATGACAATTGTGCTTCAGATGTTCTACACTGTTATAGCTGAAAGTGAAATACTAGTCTCCACGACAGTCCATTCAGATGTATACATGCAACATATATTTTGGAGCTACATGGAAGTAATTTTAAGGTTATCCTCTCAATGTAAAATCACTTGTATTAAAAGGGACACAGATCTTGTTGTTTCGGCTCTATTTTTTCTAACAACAAAGACAACTAGTATACTACAACACACATTTCACCTGACAAAATAAAACTTAGACAAGAATTTGTTAAAATGGCTAAATCATTGATTTCAAAAACTTATAACAACACAATAATTATTTCAAAATTATTTTCAAAGTAATGTGTATTTTTTTTTCAAACAGTGTCTGCAAATTTATAAGTTACAAATGTATTTCCCATTTTATACCATTAAAGGGTTTCATTTCATTAATTATTTAGTTTAAAATCCAATGTTGCAACATTTGGCATTATACAAAATATAAGCAAATGCACTGAAAAATAATGTCATTATAGGTCAAATGTGTTGTGTAATTGCAGGGAAGTGTGTGTTTTAAAATTTACAAAACCTTTTGTTTATATATGAGCTTATATGATGAGTTCTGTGTTTTCTGTAACTCTCAACTTTCCTAATATTCACACCTCATACAACATAACAAGTACAAACTCTAACAATATTTGTTTAGAAAACAATTTCTATTAGATTGATCTCATAGCAAAATGCTATTAAATTGTAAATAATACTCTAAATCCATTACATAATATAACAAATGCCATACCCCGAAGCATTCCAACTTTTAGACATCTGAATATCCTATTGTAATTTATTAAAATATATAATTTATTTTAAATGTTCAATATCAGAATGTGTTTGGAGGACTGACAGACTATTCTGGGTACATATTTGAATCCATGTAAACTGCATAGAAAATATTGGAGACCCTAGTTTGATGTTTACATTAAATCCTCTGCTAGCATACAACTACCCTAATCTTTAGTAATCGGAACCAATGTGTAATATACTTTATTGGTATGCCGTTATTATAATAGGAACATCTCAAATGCCCAATGTCAGTCAGTTCCTTTTGAATGTTTGTTAAATTCTTTATTCAGTATTTTTTTAACTTATATTTGCACTGTGTAAATATGAATGTAAAGATTTGTTATTTAGTATTTGGAGTGGCGAGCTTACTCTGTACATATATTAATGCTTAGAGTATGTTTCATTTAAAGTTGATTACTGTCATTCTATCAGTAAAGTTGTATAAAATAAAAAAATATTATGAAAAAAGTGAGGTCTTTTAATTCAGCTCTACACTATTCATGTCTATTACTTTGACATTTTGAGATTAAAACGAAGGCTGAAGATGCAAATTGTATTTGTATTCAAGCAAATGAAAAACAAATGGTCTACTCTAACAGGCATATAATCAAATATAAACAATTTACATTTTTACATTCCCTGATGTTCAGCCATTTTCAGTGCTTGTTCATAAAATTAAAACAAATCTAGGTACTATGCTGGATTGTAGACCAAATAGTAAATCAAAAATATAACTAAAGGCTTATTCAAATACGTCTTCTTTGTCACAAATGTATTGTACTATGTCCTTGGGTTTCAGAAGTCTCTCTGCATCTCCATCGGGGATCTCAAAACCAAATTCATCCTCCATAGCCATGATAACTTCTACATGGTCCAAGGAATCCAATCCAAGGTCTTGCATGAAGTGTGATTCTAGCGAGAGCTGTAACAGACAGTTAAGAATTAATTTTACCAAGACTATGAATACTCTTACGACTCTAACTAGAGATGTGTAGACCTACATTGGTCAAATAACACATATTATATTCTTTGTTTTAAGATACCTTTGTTTTCCTATATTTCAGTCCCTCTGATTATTTAATTACTATGTCTTATATAAGTTCATTATAAACATATTAATGAAAGTTTATTTTTAGGCTACTACAAGAACTTGCTAATATAACATTGAAAAGGAAGAAGCAGTGACAAAATGAAATAGGTATTCTACCTTCTCGGGATTAACTTTATCATAAAGTTGCAGTACAAGAAGCACCCTACTTTTAATAAGATCAATTGTTAACGGAGCGCCATGGCCGTAGTTACGCACGAAAAGCGGCTTCTGAAACAGAGGGGAAGAGAACATAAATATGTACCTGTACACTAGTTAGTTTGTCGTAAGCCTTGCACACTTTCATCACTCGCTCTCCTATTTCTTGAGGGGTTATCTTATGCACGGGCCCAGTGGCGTATCGACGTTCGCACGAAACCTAAACATTTGAGGACTTCTATAGGTATACACAGTTATGCAATAATTCCATTTAGGTTATAAATCAACAATGACCTATTTTTATTATCTTCAATCGGTACTTCAATGCGCTAAATTTGCATTTAATAAGGAATACGTTACTTTTTTATCTATTAAACAGAAACTCATGCAAAGATAAAACGCCTTACCCCTGTCTGTAAGTCGTGACTGTTGTATAGCTTCGCGATGGTTTTAACGGTTTGATATTTTTGTTGTAAAGCTACGGTGGATAGTCGGCATGCGACCGGCGTTTTAATTGTGGTGGATTTTCGAAGTAAACCACCGCAAGCACTTCGGAAAATATTCACTGCAGCCATTTTTTGGGCTCAATATTTTTGATTTTTCTAGTAGACAAGAAAGAAATAATGTAGATGTCAATAGTCAATAACCAACAGAATGTTGCCATTGTAAAATATAATTTATAGATGAATGATAAATTTGGTATGTGCAGTAATGACATTTTACTGTCATTGTCAGTAGCAAAATTAGTCAATGCCACTGTCAGAAAATACTGTTTTGTATTGGGAATTGTGTACGTATGAAATGTTCTCAAGTTCAATGTTTGTCGATTAATATTTGAAAACTCCTGTAAAATGGGAAATGCTGACACAAAACTGAATTTTCGTAAAGCAGTAGTGCAACTAACATCAAAGAACCAAGTAAGGATATGTTGAAATGTGGAGAAAGTTATGTGATATGCGTGGGAATCTGCTGTGCCGATTATTGATTTTGATTATTATTTCAGCCTATTGATGCATCAGATGATAATTTCTGGGATCAATTCTGGTCGGAAAGCGTGACAAATGTGCAGGATGTGTTTGCGTTAGTGCCGGGAGCGGAAATTCGTGCTCTGCGCGAGGAATCTCCAAATAATCTCGCTACACTTGTGTACAAAGCTGTTGAAAAATTGGTTAAGATTGTAGATAGCAGCTGCCGTACACAACGAGAACAGCAGACTGGTAAGGACATACTTTTAATTATACTATTTAATTAAAATAAAATTACATAAACATTCTCAACACATCCAAAATTGCAAAATTTACAAATGTATTGAAGTTGGTTGCTCTGTATCATACTTGTATAAACCTTCATATTTTTAGTCTAAATAACCAATAAGGCTCAAAAGTAGTGTAGTGAGTTCAGAATTTTTGGATTTTAGGTATTCAACTTTTAATTCCATTGACTATTGTTACAAAATACATTCCATAATTATTATTTGTTTTACTCACACATGACTCATATGTTGTAATGACTTTGGAATTAATAATTTCCAATAATATAATATAATGTTATTATATATTAATATATTCTTAAAGATTATATGGGAATTAAAATTCCAGTTAATGTAGATTTACTCTCTGGGTTTAAACCTCCATCTACAAGATTTTACAATTCAGCCACAATATATGTATATTATTTATTTCTTGCAATTTTTTTCCAGCTCTTAATTGTGCCAGATTGCTTACGCGCGTTCTTCCTTACATGCTGGAAGAACCTGAATGGCACAGTTTTTTCTGGTCTTCCCTGCCAGCTGCTGCAGAAAATGAATCTGTACCCCTCGCACAGTCTCTTATCAATGCTATATGTGTTAGTAACATCTTTACAATAGAAAATTTATAACACTTCGGAAAATTATAATAAATTATATTGTAGAAATTACAAAAAAAAATTGTATTGTGCAAGTAATACTGACAAAACTATTAGCTAAGTTTTTATTAGTAAGATATAGCTAAAAAAAATTAACTTTGCTTTTCAGGATCTTCTTTTCTGCCCAGATTTTACAGTGACCAGTTCAAAGAGATCTGGACCTGTGAGTATTGGATATAATTTATTTTCTCTACATATTGATTTGTAGTATAGCCATAACTAGCTGTGCCAGCGATTTCGTCCTCATAGAATAGTTATTTTGGCATTAAATTGGTTTCGCGTTTTCTTACGAATGTTTTTTAAAGATAGACATACTTTCCCACGATTTTTTCAGATAATTTAAAGATCAATCAATTCTTCTTAAACTATTTACAGAGTGCACACATCTAAAATGAATAATTTTCTTCACATTTCTTTCTGTCTCTTTGCTCCTATCAGTCACGGCGACAATGTTTTATAGCCTATATAGCCTTTCTCGATAAAGCTCTAACCAACACAAAGAGATTTTTTTTTCAATTTGAACCAGTAGTTCCTGAAATTAGTGCATTCAAAAAAACAATCAATTTCTTCACCTCTAAAATAAAAGAGATCTATACTAAATCGATTTCTTTGCAAAATCTCACTTTGACAAGTATTTGTATATATATTTTCTATTACTGCGTTTTGTCTGATATTTTATTTATATTAATAAAATTTTATAGGAACGCGCCGAGGAGCTAGCGTCTTTAGACAGCTGCGAGTATATTTGGGCGGGCGGTGTAGGCTTTGCGCGCAGTCCGCCCCGCTGTGCAACCCACGAAGCGAATCGGACAGAACTGTTGCGACTCCTTCTAACTTGCTTCAGTGAAACGATCTATAGGCCTCCACAACAAGCAGCCACACATCACAACAAGTGGATTGCGTGAGTTTTTTTCTTTATACTAGTCTTACTGCTATGATAAATAAAAAGATTATCTAATGGTGAAAGAATTATAATACTGTCTGGAGTTTACGCCAGTAGTATGCATTTAAATAAAACACTTTATTGTTAAACGCAATACATATTAGTTAAACTTATTTGAAAACTTTTAAAAATTACAATGTTACTAATGTTTTAAAAATATATGACAGATTTAAATTTAAAAAGTACCATCATGTGCAATAAAAATTTTAAAGTTTTCAAAAGTATAATACTGTCTAATCATGTGTTTGTTTTTGTACGTGTGCGTTGGTGTGTATGCATATGTACGTGTATCACACCATTTAATTAATTTTGCCTTTACTGCAAACTATAATGAAATATTATACTTTCAGTTTCCTCACGAGCCCCGACAACCGGCACGCGCTGCCCTTGTTCACATCACTCCTCAACACAGTATGTTCGTACGATCCAGTTGGTCTGGGCGTGCCATACAACCATTTGCTCTTTGCTGACACGTTGGAACCCCTAGTAGAGGTATGGTTTCCTATTTAATATGGTGTACAATAGCAAACTTGATGTACAACAAAGAAGTTTACATTAAAGACAAGAATAAGAATAAAAATGTTGCATAAGAAATAGGTGTATAATAAACTAAGAATCTAACATTTACCTGTTTATAATAGCTAACACATTTACAGACACTGTTTTAACTATAAAAAATAGTATTAATACATTTATATTTGTTTACACGTTACAAGTTGCTAAAATAAAAAATGTATTTAATTGCTATATATTATGTATAAAAGCCTAAGCCATTTAGTGTTTGTTTTAATTAATTTCCGTTTTCAGGTAGCACTGCAAGTGTTAATAGTAACTTTGGACCATGATACAAGCAACGTTGTTAGTGAAGATGCTGAAGAAGTGAGTATTAGTATTATGCTAAAATAAAACATCACTATAAACTGATATTGGCTCTTTGCAAAAATTATAGGCCCAAACACATAAGTTTCCATTTTATGAATCCTACAGTCACTGGATTAGTCAGTTGGTTTTCCTGGGCTTTCCCATGCTTAGCCTCTTAATTGGGCCATTGTGCGTTTTTTTTTGTTCCTCTCACTCCAAGCACCCTAAGTCTCCCCAGGAAGCCAGGAGCCTTTTCAGGTTTTTACATGCTTACTGGAGGGACGGTGGAGATTGGAGGTATCTTGCCCTCTTGTATCGGTCACCCTCGTGCACTCCATAAGTAGGTGGTGTGGCGTTTCTTCTTCCCCATGCTGCCTCTGCACAGGGGGCAGTCACTGGGCTATTAGTGTAAAGTAAAAATAAATGGTGTTTATATATATAAATACTGTATTTTTTTTGCAGACACTACCAGACAATCTCTTCATAAACTACCTATCTCGCATCCACCGCGACGAAGACTTCGGCCTGGTCCTTCGCGGGGTGACGCGCCTTCTCAATAATCCCCTGCAGCAGACCTACCTCCCGAACTCGAGCAAAAAGGTCGCGTTGCATCAGGAGTTGCTTGTGCTTTTCTGGAAGATGTGCGACTATAACAAGGTATGTTTAAAGAAGGTGTTTTCCTCTTTTACAGTAATGTCTTAAAATGTAAAAAGAAATTCTATCTTTTTTATCTACTGTTTCTTTCTCTATTTTTGTTATGATATGAGGAGGCCCAAGCAATATAACATCAAAACAAGATGCGCTCTCGCCCTAATTTGTCTTCGTATATACGGAGATAATAGACTGAAACCGAAACGCAATTAAAATGGACGACCTTTTTTATCTGTGGACGGTGGTTCGTGACGTGCGCGAAATTTAGATATTCCTGGCACCCATTTAATATCCAGAATTCAAGAAGAAGTTCATTATACACTTTAAGGTTTAAAACGCGATATATTAGTTAAACTTATTTGAAAATGATTTTTAACTTCGGCCCGACGTTTCGGATGCTTTGCAGCAGACGTGGTCACGGGTAGACACCGGAGCGGAGGGCGGTCTCCGGAGAAATCATTTTCAAATAAGTTTAACTAATATATCGCGTTTTAAACCGTTAAAGTGTTTTATTTAATGTGTCTCTCGCGTAAACTATAGACAGTATTTGAAGTTCAACATGTTTCAGAAAACTTGTCAATTTATTATAAACATGTGGATCCGATACGATAGGGATAGAAACCGTAATACGAACAAGCCTGTCTCTTATAAAAAATGACAAATTTCACTTTATTTTGAGGTTAAGTGACGACAGTAAAAAACTTGTTAACTAATAATTTTCTAAGCACCTTAATAATTACTTTTCTTAAGTCTTTTTTAAACTTGCTTTATTCAACCAACTCCTTATTACAGAAATTCATGTACTACGTGCTGAAAAGCAGCGATGTTCTGGAAGTTCTAGTCCCGATACTGTACCATCTCAATGACTCGCGAGCAGACCAATGTAAGAACTATCTATACTAATAAATAAAGCTGAAAAGTTTGTTTGTTTGATAGCGCTAATCTTCCGAACTACTGGATTTGTTGGTTAGATCATTGATCGAGAAAGGCTATAAAACATCATGCTGTGACCAATTAAATTATCTAATAAAAATGTCCAAAAACTATATGCTCTTTCAAACCTTGATAGAACGACGGTACGAACGACGTCATTGGGAACAGCTTAATTTTATAAAGATGAAAAGGAAGTTTGCAAAAACAAATTTTGACGCCCTAAATAGCTATTCTACGCAGACGAAGTTGCAGACACAGCAAGTAAATTATAAACCACACAGGAACCAAAAAAGTACAACCTTGTATAACCTACCTTTCTGTGTTTTGTTACTATAATCAATATGACTTTATTCGTTTCATTGCGATAAAATTTTTCTTTAATGCCATATTACAATGATTTTTAACAGCACGAGTTGGTCTCATGCATATTGGAGTGTTCATCCTTCTCTTACTATCCGGGGAGCGAAACTTCGGTGTCCGTTTGAATAAGCCCTACACAGCCACTGTGCCGATGGACATTCCAGTGTTCACGGGCACGCATGCGGATTTGCTCGTGGTCGTCTTTCACAAGATTGTGACCACGGGACATCAGAGGCTGCAACCGCTGTTTGACTGTCTACTTACCATACTGGTTAATGGTAACCGTAATCTGTACTACAGTAGATGATTTATTTCCGCCTAATATTTGCTTATTTGAGATTTTAGCTGTTAATGGAACTAAAAAATTAAATGCCATATATCTTGATTCGGATCTTAACCAACTTTAATAAAGTTAATTCATTATCCTAAAATATTTAAAAGCCTGTCTATAGTTTGCGCGAGTAGTACACAGTTAAATAAAACACTTTAACGGTTTAAAACGCGATATATTAGTTAAACTTATTTGAAAATGATTTTTTATTTCGGCCCGACGTTTCGGATGCTTTGCAGCAGCCGTGGTCACGGTCACAATATATCACGTTTTAAACCGTTAAAGTGTTTTATTTAAATACTTAAAATCCTGTCATTTCTAGCTAATTTTAATAAATAAAGTTTATCTTAAAGAATCGTTTCACCTAAATATTTAATTCCTTACCAGTTTCGCCATATCTAAAGACCCTGTCGATGGTAGCGTCAACGAAGCTTCTTCATCTCCTGGAGGCGTTCAGCACCCCCTGGTTCCTGTTTTCGCAACCGCAAAACCACCACCTCGTATTCTTTCTGCTGGAAATGTTCAACAACATGATACAGTACCAATTTGATGGTGAGAATTTTTATTTATACTTTGCTGAATGTGGTTTGGTTGCATTAGAGAAAGTATACAAAGATACTTTGGTATTTAAATTGTACTTGAAATATTTTATAGTTCTGTTGTCAAGAGCGCAACATTTTGTTATCTGTTATCTCTTAGTGTCACACTTGTTTTTTTTTCTATTCTGTGCTCTGAAGATTATATATCAATAACCGTAGGAATTTTTGGTAATAAAATTGCATTTTTGACATTGGCAGGCAATTCTAACCTGGTCTACACCAATAATAAGGAAGCGTGCTGTGTTCCACAACCTTGCCAATTTACCCCACGAGCACGCATCGATCGCTCGATCACTGGCTGCCGCCACCAACACCAGGGATGCGGATAAAGCCTTACCGAGGTATGAAATACCGCATTGGGGTTCTGTCCGATATATATTACGGATTGCTTTGGTCAGAAAGGGTACTGCAGGGTTCGTACCTATAAATAAGATTATTTATTGAAGCAGGTGCATTAAAGTTGGATCTCGTAACTTTAGTCAAAAATACACGTTCTACGTGAGTAGAACACATTTAAATAAAACACTTTAACAGTTTAAAACGCGTAATACATTAATTAAATTTATTTACTCGGTTGCTATGCAGCAGTCGTGGTCACGGGGAGACTAAAGATGGAGGGTGTCTCTAATGTCAAAGTAAAAACTACTACGCAAGCGCCATTTGTTCCGTCGTAGTTGGTATGCGGCGACGTCGGGCCACAGTTAAAATAAGTTTAACTAATATATTTCGCGCTTTAAACCGTTAAAGTGTTTTATTTAATTATATGTAAGCGTATTCTGTACTTTTTATTCTAGATAAGTTTAAGTTAATTTAAAAATCGAAACTAAATTGAAAAAAATTTTCGACTCGGGGGCCGGTATCTGCTCAGGTGGATAAAATTTCAGGACTTGACCCGGCATCGTCAGCTTTCCGTGCTGTTGCTCCACCAATTGAGCTACCGAATCCTAAGTTTTTTTTTTTTAAAAAATTTTTGGGGAATATATTCAAAGTAAAGTTCTTAGTTTAAAACAGTTTTTTTCATGACAGGTCACGAAGCACTGAGTCAGTTGTGGAGACAGCGATGGAGGGCTCCAGACCAGCTCAGCCGGCTGAGCCTGGCACCCTGAACCCTACTTTACCAGATACACCAGGTACTTATGGAAGCATACAGCGTTCAGCTTTTACAGGGATTTAAAATATTTAGTTTAAGTAGTATGTAGATTTTAATATTTCAAAAAATATTAGTCTCATTACTGCCTTACTTTTCTTTGTAATGGGTTGACTGTATATTACCTGTACCTATTCTAATTTTGCACCGTTTATATGTCAATATCAAAACTAAACTAACTTGAAATGGCCCTTCCATTTTTTTATGATAGAGGAGGATAGCCTGCAAGATGTGTTATCAGCCTATTTTTGGTTCGGTCGATTGGGTTAAAGAGATATTAGTGATGTTAATAAAATAAATGTGTTCATTCCTTTTCGTAGTGTGTACTTGTCAAAATAGCTACCGTTAACATTTGATCGCTTTCCATTTAAATAAAACACTTTAACGGTTTAAAACGCGATATATATTAGTTAAATTTATTTGTAAATAATTTTAACTACGGCCCGACGTTTCGGTTGCTATGCAGTCGTGGTCAATCTGCTAGCTAGTCGCATTGGTCGGCGGTGGATAATATTATATTCAAATAATTTAATAAGTTAACTAATATATATGGCGTTTTAACCGGTTAAAGTGTTTTGTAAAATGCGTACCACTCCCGTAAACTACAGACTGTACTTTCCTTTGTTTTTTGGTAATGTAATATGTTCTTCCTGCAGCCATAGCGACGATGACGGAGCGTGAATCTGCGCACCCCCCGGCACGAGAGCAACTGCTGCCGCGTCGCTCTGGAGATGGAGAGGACCGGACGGACGCAACGGAATCCGACAGGGAGGACGTTACGAGGACTGTGACACACGTAGGAAATAAAACAGACACCGTTTTGTGTCTGTTTGATATTGTAAAAGAATCATTTTCAAATGTATATAGTACTTGAGGAGTTTTTCTTAAAAGGAAGATTTGTCGGGCTCACTCGGGTAACAATGTATGTCTAATAATTAGTGGGTCGTGGGTGCAATACAACTTTTCTTACAACCATCAACCTGGAACTTCGTCTGCCATGCTGGAGATAAGATAATTGCAAACCTCAAAGAATTTAAACTTAATTTCGATTAAATTGAGACATTTTGTAAAAAAGTTATTAACCTATAACCGAAGGCAGGACATGTAGACGATAGAAAAATATGTCCTTCTAATGTTTTTAAATAAAAGATGACAGATTCCTTCTCTACCATAAAAAAAATCCTCTTATCTTAGAGATAAATAAACTTCGATTTCTTTTCTTCTCACCACTCGTTAAACCCTTTTAAAATGCCTTACTTAGCGAGACAGCCTCCGCGTTGGTGAGGAGAAGAGCGATAGCGGGTGGAAGGCGAGCAGTGAGTGGGTATCGAGCTGGAGGGGCAGACTACCGCTGCAGACGATCATGCGTTTGCTGCAAGTGCTGGTACCGCAGGTGGAGAAAATCTGCATTGATAAGTAAGTTCCCTTTATTATAGCCCCCCTAATGGAAAGTTTTTTGGAAACCACAAGGACGAATTATTTTTACTATTTTTAAATTAAAATCGAATTGAGCTTGATCTCAATTGGTTAGAAACACACGGAAGCTGTAGATGCCCCTTCTAGTCCTGCCTGTGACGTTATTTAAAAAAAAAAATTTACAATCGATTTTTAATTTAAACAGTATTAAATTATAATATCCATATCTCGTTCCAGGGGCCTAACAGACGAATCAGAAATCCTCCGGTTTCTCCAACACGGCACTCTGGTCGGTCTACTTCCGGTGCCCCATCCAATCCTGATTCGCAAATACCAGCCTAACGCCGGCACAGCGGCCTGGTTCCGTACATATATGTGGGGAGTTATATATATTAGGTAAATATTTGCGCAAATTTTATACATATATGTATTTGAAAGGTTTCTCGGTGTTACGAGCTATCAAACATTGATCAATTTTGGGTCCTCCTGTGGACACGGAAAATGTTAGACGCCGGTGGGTCAAGCCACAAGCTACATTATGCCCATTGAATTTTGTGTGCCTTTGACCTATTTTAATTTAAACGAAATTATATTGTTGATCAGACTTACCCCTTTCTTTTTCGTACTAACCATTAAGCTTTGGAGCTTATCTTCCTAACTATCAAAGACACTAATTGTGGCTAATTCTAGAATGTTCCTTTCAGAAACGTGGACCCACCGATCTGGTACGACACGGACGTGAAGCTTTTCGAAATACAGCGAGTCTAAGTTTTGCTTATTTAAATATTTATTTTACCATTTAATTAATTCATGCTTTGCATCAATACGATCGCATATCAAGTAAACATTGTTATTGTTATCTCTTTCATTAGTACTATATTGAAAAGGGACGATGTCCTTGGTCTATTGTCTTATGAATTCAGCTTATTAGTTTTTAGTTAATTATATTAGAAAATTCTATGCTTAATAGTTAATTTTATGTACAGTTGCTGTGCTTATTATTTATACGTACTATTTTTACAATGAGATTTTTTTTAGATTATTAGTATCCGTAGGCTATCCGCGCTTACTCGTAAAATATGTGTATCCTTACATAGAGGGCGCTGTACTTGAATCAATTTTATTTTGTTTTCAAAGTTACCTCCATAAGTTTTCATAACGGCGATTAAACAAAAACATTTCTATTAAAATCACAATTTTTTTTATTGCCTCGATGCAAATCAATCTGAATGCAATAAAACTACGTAACCTGTATATTCTCCCTATACTTCGTCTTCTCTAGAATGTTAAGTTTGACAAATTACAACTTGGATCGGGCTTATATAATTTTATATTAATCAATTGTCTATTTAATTATGATTTCCTTTAAAATGTTACTAATAGTTTAATTATATGTAATATTGTTTAAATAAAAACCGTAAATTCTAATGACATTCGGGTATTTCTAGCTAGATAGCTCTTCTAAACTAATAATTAAACATTTGGTAATACAGCTGGCCATAGTGTTCTATCGTGAACGCCCACTGTCCCACTTATGGAACACAGGTTATAAGCCAAGATACGTCTCAACATTATATTAATATGATTCGGTAAAAACGTTCTTAACAAGCGTAAAATGTCAAACTTATCATCCTATAAATCAAGTATAGTTCTGCTTCGGTATACGTATTTTGTAAATAAGTGTATATTTATTCATCTGTGTGATAACTTGTGTTACATTTAATAAATTTATCTTTAGTTGCCTACATGTGGAACAGGAAGGAATAGTATAAAAGGCAAGGTCGAGTATTGGATATTGTAGATTTTCAGCACTTGGTACTAAATATTTGCTTAAGAAGCGTAAAAAGTTTCAGAATATCGGATTTTTTTTTTGGCGAAATACCATTTTTTGTCAACAATTTTATCTTTTTTCCGGTGTAAAATATATATATTCATAGTAATCTACATCGTACACCAAACTTTTTTCTGCGCGAATGTAGTTTTTTTAGCTTATACTCATACGTACTAGTCGTTTTTAATTATTTAATTTTCCTCTTATGAAATTACAAAAAATAAATTCTTATGCGTGAATTTAACTGAATTTTGGTATAATATTATAACCATACGCGTATGTTTTATAAGGGAGTTGTTTATAACAACGGTCTATTTTTTCGTAAATATTATTTCTTTCATCTTTGCCTTAATGGAGAAAGTATACCAAATTAATGCATTTTACATCAAATATAAATTGTTTAATATTAGAATAATCTATTTATTTAATAATATCACTAATGTACTTAATGTTATTGAAAATAAATGGAAATATGAGCTTTATTTAGTTTCATATGAACTTGATTCATTTTATAAAATGTTTAAGACGCAATTTTACACGTTTGTCCATGTTTTGTAAATCTTTCTAAATTACCTCTGTACATTTTATTAACGAGACATAATATTGTCTTTTTTTTTTGAAATACCCATTCCCAAATTCCATTTTCTTCGTTGGCCTTGTATGTTACAAACCAGGCAACACGCCGAACACTTGTTTCAAATGGGTTGGGTAAAGCACTGCCTCCTGGAACGAAGGGTCGAAAAGAATGTAAATGGTATATCAAGTTGGTCCTTGCCATTGTTTGTGATGGTGAAATATACCAGTCTATCGGCCAATTTTGGTTTTGTACTTTCGTAAATCTCCTCTCTTCTACGCGTATCGTTACACAAAGCGATCGCGTTTGGCATCTTATCCTCTACTATTATAAAGCGAAAGTTTGTAAGTATGGATGTATGGATGTTTGTTACTCTTTCACGTAAAAACTACTGAATGGATTTGAATGAAACTTTACCACAATATAGCTTATACATCAGAATAAATTGGCTACAATTTTTGAGGTTTTTAATGTCGGGTCGTAAAAAAACACATTTTTTGCGCTTACATTGCAAACGCTGACTGAATCCTACAAGATAGATCAAAACAATGTACTACAGTATTGTACAACTTAAAAAGGTCTCCAAAAAAGTCCGTGATGGTATATGTTTATCTCTTCAAGCAGGAGGCATGTGTTGTTCGGGAGGAAAAGTAGTTCTTCCTTCAATAGACGAGCCTGTTGAACCTCTTAAAGAACTTTTTTTTCAAATGAAACAGATGAGTCTCGCCGTTTTTTAAAAAACATAAAAATTTTCTCACGGTCAGCTCTATGTGGCTTGCTCACGTCTTTCCAAAGCGAGGAATCTGCATGTTTATGCTGAAGGAAAAAGATCGTTAAATGTAGTTTATAGGAGCATACTGCAGTAGCGACCTATAGACCTATGATTAGGGCTCTGCAGTGCTTAGTTACCGTATTTCTAACTGATTACTAGACTAGACGGGACGAACCTGAAGTCCACGCGAACGAAGTCGCGGGCAAAAGCTAGTAGTATATAAAAATGTAGGAGTAAAAAGATAAAGAGCACATTTACTAAAATTTATTCGAAGCGTCCGTTACATAGACGAGTCTACGCCATACGTACATATAAAAATAACATTACTAAATAAGTACATCACATCAATTTACACTATAGCTATAACCACTAGATACCTTTGAGTCTTATACATTTTGTATAAAAATGTTTCCTTATTTAAATGAGATTAAAAATAACATAAGACCTCATTTGAGGGTAGATAAAAAGCCGGAAAAGTTATTTTTCTTTCTACCTTCCGTTTTTGGGAGGTAAACGAAATCGACAAAATAGAGCGAAAAACTAAAACCTATGTTATGTATCTAGTTTGCGCGTGAGTACATCTTTTAATAAAACAATTTTAACGGTTTAAAACGCAAAATCTAGTTAGTTAACTGATTCAATTACAAGTTAACTATTACATTTCACGTTTTAAACCGTCAAGTGAAAATTAATTTTCAAAAAATTCACCACACCGTTAATAAATAAGTGCCAATCACTTTGAGCATTCCATTTCAAACTAATAATAGGTACTTCAGTTCTCTTATCCGAAAGATTTGTACATTGTAAAGTGCAAAAAAAATGTCTTTTTATATCAATTGTATTCTTTCGCAACCATTTTGTCTTTATATTATTGTATAACTCTCATTGGGGCGTACACCAAAATACTTGGTGCCAAGTACAAAGTCCTTATACGTTGTCGCCAACCTTATACCCTAAACACACATTTTATATCTATCTATGTAAAATGATAACACGCTTTTATTGTTCTGTTATCAAGAAAATCAACAAACTCAAATATATATAAGAAATAAAAAATACTATTTTGTAATTTCCCTCAAAAATAATTAATTGATTAGGCAGGATTTCATCTCTGAACATATACGTTTAGGCCGTGTGGTAAATTATAACAAAACTAAACAATATACTGTCTGTAATTTACGCGAGTAGTACACATTTAAATAAAACACTTTAACGGTTTAAAACGCTATGTATGTTAAACTTACCTCCCGAGACCGTGTTTTATTTAAAACTAAACATACCCCTAAATTACACAGATCATATTCATTATTAATACTTATTACAACTACCTACATCTAATAGTAAAAATATGATCGGCCAACTTAAAATCCATTGTTGAATCTACAGTGTTAAAGGTTGCAAGAGCCTCAACAGTATTTTAAAATTTGAATGCATTTTGTTTTGTAGATCAATTATTTGACTTATCACGTATGGGAGTTGAGGGTAGTTGAAAAATTCTTGTTGTAGTTGTATTTGCGTTTATCGCCCTATGAACTATTTTTTTTTTTAACAGAATAGGCCATTTCGAAATTAATAAAAAAAATAATGATTATCAGTCCATTACTAACTCTACACTAGAATTTGAAGCGTTTAGGCCATTATCACAATTAAAACATAATTATACCAGGTCCCATATAACTTGAACATTAAAACTATGCTATGTGCTTGGAATAAGTGCTCGTGAGGAATATTGTACAATAATGGCCTTGTGCTTTGATAGAGGCAAAGAAATTCATGACTCGTAGTACCATCTCTGTCACTCTCATATTGAGGGAAAGAGACAAAACATTCCATTGGCATTGCTTGTGCGTTTTAAGCGATATTTACAAAACTGGAAAAGCCCGTACGTTCCAATGTTTGGACAGTTTTATGGAATACATTTTGGAACGTTTAGTATGTTGCTCTTCCCTTGATTCGCGTAAAATTTAAGTGTTTGTAAAAAAAATATTTTTTATGTAACTTAATTGGAAAACTACCTTAAAGTCGAATTTAATCTTCGCGATTCGTAAACGGAGTGCAAATTTTTAAACATTTGGCTTTTACGTACAGACCCGCATCATTATTGTTTGAGACATCTCTAAGTTACATTATTTGATAGACGATGTCGACCACAAAACATCCCCGCAGTCAAGACTTTAAATTATAAACTCCTGACTGACGGGCGAATGCAGCTAGCTGAGCGCACTGTAGGCCGGCGGAGGAGGCGATGGCTGGTCACGGCCCGGCAACAGAACCGCGATATGATAGGGCGGTGGTGCTTCAGGGGAGCACGAAGTACCCGCACTCTGCTCGGAACTCTGCAGGAGAGTAGCTAGAGAAATGTCTTCAGATGGTTCAGATGGCGGCTGAAAGGTTAGACAAAGTTTGTGATCTATAGTGATCAATGCTTAGAAGAAAATATTATAATAAGGAATGAGGATGGTTAAAAAAAATTACCCAATTTGTATAAGTAGTGGAAAAAACGCAGTCTATAGATATGTTACAGCACGTTTAGGTGTTTAAATAATCCACTGTAACTTTTTAAAACGCGAATAAGCTTTCCGTAGAGACTAAAGCTTGTATGTACTGTGGCAAGAAATGCTAGAGGTCTAACTCACCAGCTCCCTAGTACCAGTAGTAGACACTCGATCAGGTGGAAAAGCAGGTGGCACCGGAGCTCTTGGACGGCAAAGAGACAACGCACAGCCCATGCCACACACGCAGGCCATAGCAGCACACATTACACCAGCTTCGCTGCTTCCTGGCTCATGCTTAATGCCCACCTAGATCACAGATAGAGAAATCAACTTTACCTCCCATCGGGCCACCAAAAAGCATGTAAGTTAAAGCCTACTGACAAATTTTGTGTTGTTTATTGTTTCTTTCTATCATATTTGATGATAAGGTAAGCAAAAAAAACAACCTTTTTAATATCAATACTAAATATGTTACCTGACGATCAAAGTAGTACTTCGCCCCGGCGAAAAAAATTGTTGCCAAGACAAAGGTCACTAGTATCCCGAACTTAAGATGGGGCGCCATCATGGACGAGTGAGGGAGGCCCAGGGCTGCGGTTCGGAGTAAGGTATCGGGAGTGACGCTACGGGCGGCAGCCAGGCTCGCTATGGTGGGCTGCGGAGGTTCCGCGGGTATTTCGACGTACATGCTGGGTTCTTCGGTCCGACGGGATGTATGTACTTGCGGAATTGGGGGCGGGCTGTAAGAGAAAGTGTTTTTTAAGATTCATTTCTTTGTTTTCAATAAAAATTGTTTGTTTGAGTTTCAAGATAATATTTTACCTCATAAAGAAATTAATAAATGAAAGAAGAATGTAATTAACTAATCAAGAGATTTATTTTGTATTGAAGCGAAATATCTTAAATTGACGCGATCTAAAACTAAGGACAGTAAAATGCTTCAGTAAATACCATTATGTACCTTTAATAACCATATGTAAGATATAGAAAGAATAAAGAAAGTAAGGCAAAAAAAGGACAAGAATTCATAATTTAGTTTTATTTTATAAATGTGCATGTTATATGTTATGGGCATGTATAAGTTTTAAATAAAAAGTCACCCATAGTGAGTTGAGCGTGACGGCCTCGGGCGACGGGGGGCGCATTCCACGGGCACGAAGCGATGCACGGGCGCCGCCATGCCCTTGCGCCCGCCAGGCGGTGCGCTTGCGCACACGCGGCCCCTCGATCTACCCACCCCTGGAATCATCATATTATTCAGAACTTTAGTTATGGACTATTTGCTGAAGTTATGTATACAGTATTTATCCATATGCAAAGGAGGGCTGGAGTAGATATATTGAATTGTAATAAGACCACGTGTCAGAATTCCTTGCTAAACTCAAATGGTTGCCTATTAGACTCCGACGAAACACTCACATCCTACGTCTTCTTTTCTCTATTTTCTTTAATCCGCGCACTCCTACCTATCTAAAACAAAGGTTTATATTTTTGGGTTCTCCCCATTAATTTGACCTTCGTTCTCCTTATTTATCAATGTATGACTCTTCTTTTTCTGTACAGGCTGTCTGCCTATGGAATAAGCTGCCATCTGCAATTAGGCTCTCACAAAGTCTTAACTCCTTTAAAGCTAAAGTCGAACAATATTTTCTTCAAAGTACTGTTCAGTCCTGATTTTATTGGCTTATACTTTTATTATTTATAAAGTTGCATCTTTGTAAGATCTAAATTTAATCTTAAGTTTTTACTTTTTGGTAAATAAATAAATGTTGGATATTGGATAGTGTGTTAACGTTTTCTGTTGTGTTAAAATTTGATATCATTGTAATTTACAACTTATTGCATTTTCTCCCTCATTCGCATAGGATTTTGTTCAATCAAAATAACAATATTGTTTTGTTTGCCTTTTCTTTACACAAAGGTTGCTTGGAAGAAATCGCCAAAGGCGATAATGCCACTTTTGCAGTAACTCGTTTTTGTAAATAATTAATTTAGTATTACCCTATTTGTATTTTATATGTTTGTGCAATAAAGTGGTTTTATTATTATTAAATAAAATAATTATTATTTCAGATAGACATATAAATAAGAAAACTAATACAATCCAATATAAGTTAGTTGAGATAGTAAAAAGTTAACTTAAGTTGTATCTTACTAAGATCAGATCATAATTACAGAAGAACAACAAAAAGAAATTATAATGGGCCACATCAAGTCAACTACGTTTGTTACATATTGCTGAATGCTTTGAATGTATGGCATAAGTTAAAAACAGAATTAGATGATGCATGGTTCTTAATTGATTAATATTGCAATTACAAATACAAATACAAATTTTTTTCACCAAAACTGTGAAATTTTATTAATTATATTAATAAAACCAAATATTGGACGGTCAGCAATTTAAGAACTTTTACACAGCAAACATCATACAAAATAGTTACAAATATAACAAACCTTAGATGAAGATGAACTTAGAATTGTTTAAACTTTTACCATTCTGTATTTATTATTGTAAACTGGACACTGGAGAGAAAAATTAAGATACTTAATGACTCCAGTTATTATAAAAAGCCCTAAATTGATTTTGTTATGGGCTATTGACACTTACCGAAGTGACAAAGGAGGTTCCAAATATTTATAGATATTTTTTAATCAGTATTTAAATATTTTTGAGCTTTACCTGCTGATAAAGATGAGGGTACTCTGTGACGACCGCTGTAGCACTGGCTCTGTCGTTTATCTATCCAAAAATGCATTTGGAAACTGTTTTACTTAACTGCACCGACAAATATAATTACTATAATAAAATACTCGCGACTCTAACAAAGAACCGATAAAACCATTTTAACACTAGAATTCAGTCAACCTTTTAGTTTTAATTCATAAAAAATATACAACATTCACAATAATTTTTTTCGTACCACTTAACACTAGGTTCTTTAAAATTTTAAAGATCACGTTAAAGTTACTAATTGTGCTGATTTATAATAAAATACGATCTATTAAGCTTATTTTTCAGCAATTAAATTACAAAACAGCATTTTGAAAATATGACAGCCATAATTGAGTTGTGGGCTGGGCTTTTCAGCTGTTGGGCGGGGTTGAAACTGAAGCGGGGGTAGGGGGATGTTTTTTTATTTCTTAATCTTTGGATACGAGTCCTTCAGTGGCAGGGGGATGAATAACCACCAGGGTTACCATTAATATTTCACTAATATTACTATTACATCCCTAAATCGGTAATACTTAAGAAAGTAATATAGCTAACAATTTTCATGAGTTTCAAAAGTATTTTAAAATTAAGCGGGCTTTTACATAGTTTCAGCACCTACCAAAGCGCTATACAAAATTATGATGATGACAAAGACAAAGATATTTACGGAAAATTCTAGAGCTACGTCCATAAATGATATTTCATGTATGGGAGTCGAAAATCCCGGTAAATTAAATATTATAAAGTGAAAATAACACTTGTGTATTAAACATATTTCCAAATATTTTTGCTATAACTTGAATTAGTGTTTAGTTATTTTTTCATTTGGAAATGTTGAGGAAGTAAAAGTTTGAAATAAGATGTAGTTTTTAGACGATCATAAATGTTGTATAAAGGTATAAAGGTGACAGTTGACAGTTTCGAAACTATATTTTGCTTTGTGACTGCCGTGAATACAAACGTGCCAAAATTATCAGTGTTTATTTATAATAGTACGTTTTTATTTGCTAACTTATTATCCGACCACTCTGAGTAATATAAGTGAACATCTGTATAAAGTGTATTGGTGTAGACTAAAAAGCTACAGTGAGAGCAACAATGATCGGCCTTGGTACGTGTAACTATTTGCGATCACGGACTAAAGAAAATCGCCAGGCTAAGCCTTATTGCCAGTGCTGGGGTAAAAAGGAACCCATGTTGTGGGATCAGTTAAGAGGCTGCGGATGTGGAGAAGAAAATGACGGTATGTAGTCAATGTGTAATTTTCTATCGCTCATTCCTATTTGAATTTGCTCAGGCAGACGACAGTGTAAAAATAATGACCATATACAAGTAACTTTTTTTAGTTTTGAAAAATAAAGTATAAAGAAAATTAAATGACAATAACACATTCAAAATCTGTGCACCTGGCTTTCATTGTCAGCTTACCTATCCGTCAAATTATTTATTTTGATAACCCAATAATAGTTACTGCAATAGATCTATTATATTTTTAAATATGAACTATTATACTCTACTGAAGCTTTTACTATTTATTGAAAACTGTGTAGACTTAATTTAAAAAAATATGCATAATTCTCATATTTTTTTAGTAACCTTGAGTTTTCAATATCATGTCAATATATGAACTTATCACTTGATACTATAATTACAATACATATTACGTAAATAGTCTGGAGGTAAACATAAATTGCAAATGTCTCTGCATAAATAATGATCTCATTAAAAGATTTTAAATAAAAAGAAACATGGAAAATGATAAAATGGTTTTATTGAAAACACAATCAGTAATACATTCATACATTTTTTATTTTTCTATTGTCTCACCACACATAATATGGTGCTAGAGATCATATGGCTTACAGCATCAAAAATGTGTGGCAAGCCTATAGAAAAAGTATAAAAACTACAGTATTTCTTACTAAGTACTATAATGTTTTATGGTTTTGAACTGGGGCTTAAGTATGGCTAATAATTAAAAGCTATAGTCTTGCAACACATATGTTTTCTCTTTAAAGTTAGCGAATGGAAATGGGAGCAGATGAACACATCGCCTTCCAGCTGGGTTTTGTTGAGTGATGACAAGAGGCAAGTCACATTTCACCCATTCTACAGTTCTGGGACAGCTGTGGCCAAGGGTGATACCCCGTTTCTACATAACAACCATTATTATTGGGAGATTAAGATCCTAACTGAGACTTATGGTACAGATGTTGTAAGTACATCCCTTGCCCTCTTATTCTTTCTTAATACTGTTTTGCAGTTCTAATTGTAGAAATTTATACTACTAGTATTAGCCTAAAGTCTACCTACAGCATATTAACTTATAAATAGTACACAAAATACTTTAACGGTTTAAATTGAGAAATATGTTAGTTTATCTTATTTAAAAATGATTTTGCATCTTTAGTCTCCCCAGTAACGCATTCGTCATTAGAAACGTTGTGCTATAGTTAAAATAGTAAAAAAAAATTATTAAACTTGTCAAGTAGCTTTAGAGATTAGCCCAAACCAATAAACAAACCCTTATTAAGACAATCATGTACTTTTCCAGATGATTGGAGTCGGTACAAACAAAGTAAACATGACAGATTCACACTTCGAGTTCATGTCTCTCCTTGGACGTGATGAGGAATCCTACGGCCTTTCCTACACTGGTGCTGTAAGGCATAATGCAATGAGTTCAAAGGACTCTCCTGGCTTCTGCAAGGGATCTATTGTTGGTGTTCGCCTTGACATGTGGAGAGGGACTCTGGAGTTTTATTTGAATCGGAAAGCGCAGGGTGAGTTTTCTGTTACTTACTGTGCGGTTCGTTTCTATATGTTGTGTATGTTAGCTGACAAGATCGCCTCAAATTATTAATCATAAGTTTATTATTAAGTTGTCTTTTAAACAGCCATTTAATCATTGGTAATAACCGAGATCGCAACCGCAAAAATTTAAGATAAAATTGAATTTGACAGCCTCAATGGGTCGTTGGTTCTGTCCATGTCACGAACCACCGTCCACAGGTGAAAAAGCCGTCAAGTTGAATCGTGTTTCGGTTTCAGTCTGAATTTCCGAATATCCAAAGCCAAAATAGGTCGACAGCGCAATTATTTAGATGTTATATGGCTGAGGTATTTCACCTACCATCGAATGAACCCCATGTTTGTCTATTCTCCTCAATAAGAACCGTTTTTAACTCAGGAACTGTTCCCGATATAGCGACAATGTAGACAGACATACATATTGCGTCCAGCACGTGTTCGCCAGACTACTGACATTGTTGTTTGCAACAAGGTTACGATAAGCTCTCACATCGTCCGGCAGTAAACGATCGAACTTTGACCTAGAACTAATTATTAGAATTACTAAAGTTGTTTATCCCCACGAGCAATACTTGGAGGTATATGTTTAAATAAATTCTAGGGTACTCATAGAGCAACACTATGACTTTGGTTACAACTGCGATATATATCAAAGTTATCCCAGAAACGTTGTGACAACAAGCGTACAAAAAAAAAAACATTAAAACCCGATTCTCAAGATTAAATGTTTTTTTTTTATTCACACAAGCTGCGGTAGATTCGTGTTTATTTTTGTCTGTTCGTTCAACGGTAAAATCTAAATATATGCAAATTAACATCTTTTATATTATCTTTATTATTGTAGTATAATATTGCATAATAATACCGTAACGAACGTGAGATTATATTTACCTCAATTATAATTATAAAAAATGCAGAAATTAAATCGTTACATAACTTATAAGGAAAAACTATTTTTAATTGTATTACACAATAAATACAATGGCATTTAACGTTGCTACATAAATATGGACAGGGGGGTACTCAGTTCCCAACCCCAAGTGAGAACCTTGAGGAGGAGACTAAAAATATATGACACGGGTGTAACAGGCGGCACCTAATGTTCAAACTTAAGTTACAAAACCAATACCTCCTTTGATTCCAGGCGTCTCCTTCTACAACCTGCGCCGCCACCCCATACTCTATCCCATGGCTAGTTCCACCGCAGCGCAGTCCTCCATGCGTTTGATATACGCTGCTTCGTGGCGAGCATCTCTGCTCGTCGACGCGGCCAAGATCCTTGCCGCGACGGTCAGACGAAAGAACCTACCACCTGGTCTCCGGTACACCGCCAGCTCTCAGTTCTGGTTGACGCTGCCGTCTGATGGTAAGTGAAGGCATAATAGTTCAGTTTAATAATATCAACGAGTTGTGACCATAAAAAGCTGTTGATATGTTTTCTGTAACTTCTCTTCTGGAAAGTCTGGATATTAAATGTGTGTAATCTGAAATAAATGATGATAAAGTGTAATCTCGACTTATTTTCGATGTGTGGATTTCTGTTAGTTCAAAAAAGTGTAAGTCAAAACAAATTGACATCGCATCTTGTATGAATGTTAGGTATATAGCTGAGGTATTTCTTTCTCAAGTGACCCTCATGTGTATGTAGCCTCGCGGTGGACAATATTTGAAATTAAACTTGGTTCAAGCAATAAGCTTTTAGTAATAATATTAAATACATTTAACTTTTATATACATTTTGTAAGTAAAACGAATGTCCCGGGTTGGTCAGCATCGACCGATTTCGCTAGACATGCGCATGCGCCGTTACACCGTCTATTCATTAAAAAAATCATTCATATATGTAACTTTTAAATCTATTCCTCCATCTTGTATAATAAAGAAGATCACTTGCTTAGTAACCATTATTTATGAAGCGCCGCACTGCGTTTATCTTGAATTAAGTTCAACACGTGATGTCGTCCACTATGTTGGCAATAGGAAGTGATCAGAGCTTATCGCTTCGGAAACTTTTCGTTTATTAACATAGGAGACCTTTGGCGTTTGATAAAGTAATAACCCGAGAAACACAAATAAAATATAGCATCGCTACTTATGAATCTATACTATGTGATATATAAATCTATAGGGTTTGTTTGTTTATTTGGATGTGCTAATCTCGGGAACTACTGGTTCGAGTTTAAAAATATTACGTTGGTTGGACCAATTGTCGGGGAAGGCTTTAGGCTATGAATCATCAGGCCGCGACCAATAGGAGCTAAGAGACAAAGGAGAAATGTGGTTTCAGGCAATTAGCTTAAAAGTTTCTTGGTCAGAAATATTGCACAAAAAGTTATGCATCTACCACTTTTGACAAGTAATAACTAGAGTAATACTAGGCCCAAGGTGGTTACCCAAGACTCCCTCGAGAGCACCGTAGGCTGGTGGCGGGTTTAGTGGTTTTGGTCGACTTTTCATCTTCAAAGATGTAGTACCACATTGGCCACGTCACTATTGTCCAACGTTTAACATTAGGCATTCACACCATCTGTTAAAAAAATATACAAGGTCGTAAACCCCGTTTTTCAACTCATAAGCACAGTAGTCCACTGCTTATCCATATCACATTAATAAACCGGTAAAACTTTAGTTAAACTTATTTGAAACTGATTTTTAACTTCGGCCCGATGTTAAAGTGTTTTATTTAAAAACACAGTAGTCTAGTTCGATACCCGCCAGTCTGATAAATAATCTTCTCAAAACGAAAACTATATGCCTAAGTGTATATACCTTAATGCAAACATATATATATGACTCACGATGTTATTGTATTAATAATAATATAGTGATAGTGGTTAGACCACAGATCTTGAGCTATTTTTGGTTGTGCATAGTTTTTATTTTCCTTAACAAAATGTATGTCGAATGATTATGATGGGATCAACGACCCCCTTACAGCTGATTCTCTCAGATCGTTATAAGTAAACGAGTCGACCACTATGCGAAGAACCATGATTCTAAGAAAAACACGTGTTCCAATAATTTATTACTGGTTATCCAAAATCTTTTTTTTTTGATAGACGTGTGATGACAATGATGGGTGAAATACCCCAGCCAAATAACATCCAAACGAGAAGATTTTGGCTATTATTATTCGGAAATCCACGGACTCAAACCGAAACGCGATTTTATAGTTTTTCGTCTGTGGATGGTGGTTCGTGATCCGACTGAAATTTCGATATTCCTACCATCAATTCAATATCCAGGTTTCCAGACGAAGTCCAACATGTTTCAGAAAAATTATAAATTGAAAGTATCGAGTCGATCAGTCAAGTGGACACAAAAATGTGGCTGGCTCATATCTTACGGGATTGAACTATATAGATTCTCTAATAGAAGAATTTAAATAGAAGACTGTAGAATCACGACAGACAGACAAATAAACATTTCTTGACGAATCTAAATAATTTTTAAGTGGAAAAGTATATTTTATTTTATAAAATAAATAGACTAACATCAGACACAGACAGACAACTATGTTGGCATAGTATTCACATAAATTTTTCGTGTTCCAACAGGATGTGAAGTCAGCGACGATGAAGAACAGTCAGAAATGGTAGAATTAGATTCGCCCAGACGCCTGCCCAATATTGTAAGTATCTATTATTAGCAAAAAAAAGACAGGACACACATCCGTTTCTATATGTTTGAAGTATAAAGTAAGAAAATTAATATTTAACAATCTATTGTCCCTTTTATTACATATAACAATAAATGGAAAACATCTTGTATATTAAAACTACCTATACACAGGGCGTTCACGTTCCTTATATTAATATTATAACGATTACAATTAATTTACTTGAAAGTTAAAAATTTCAAACCAAACATTTTCTGGCGGAAATGATGCTTGCAATGGTTTTTCATTTACACTGACAACTAATCTTTTGGTTAATAATAATTTATCCACCAAACTTTTTTTCTCCCTTTAATTAATTTTCACACACATTTCCATTTTTTTTATTCTCAAAAGTTAGACTTGTTTTTAGCGCCATCTAGTTCAATAATAAAATGCTTATAACACTAAACAAAGATCCTACTTTGTCATCATTTTTATTTGTTAAACTGTCTTCCTCAGAATCGTACCTCCCTATTATCTGGCATGAAAAGGCGCTATGGACTGAAGGAACCCATGAAAGCCATTGCAGTGCGTTCACACAACATTTGACGAACGACAAATTAGATATAAAATATTAAATAGGACAGTCCCACAAAGCAATTTGGACCTACTGGCAGCTAACTTCTGTGCTGGTAGTGTTGCTATTTTACACTTAAAAAATACATATATACAAATGTATCAATTTATTTATGTCAATGATTTACTTCAAAGGTATACAGACCAAATTATATATAAAGGATTTATATGAAGTAGATCTTCAACTTTTTAAGCTAAAACCTAATTTTAAAAGTAATAAATAATGATTATTTTAAACAGATATTAATTTGTGGGACTTATTAAAAATACCTTTTATATACTACGTTTAGACGAATATAGAAGACAAATAAATTTTGTATAAACTAATAGTCATAATAGTGATCTTTTTCTCTGTAAATAGCTGGTAATTGGAAAGTAAATATTGTCAATTGTATATTTTATTAGTTAAATAGGAAGACTGTAATTTAGGTTAAAACAATAAAGTCTGTGATTGAATCCATTTGATTTTATTTAGTGAACGCCCTTGACAATAAAAGAAGCGTTAATTGTCAAAAAACACAGACGTACGTATATACAAATATTTGACATTGAATTTGCTCGTATGTATTATGTAATGCGAAATATGACATTTTACAATTTTTAATTTGGTATGTTTGTATATGAATTATAATCTTAATAATGTTCTATTTTTCAGTTGGGTGAAATTTTGCCGAGTCCTTATGTCAATGGCTTCTATGTGGACAATGTTGAACGAAATTACCGAGTCGTCGTCTGGCAATGAATTATTTAACTGCATTGCTTAATTAATATTCTCTAGGAGATAATCTGTATTCAGATAGACGTCATATACTTAATAGCAAAATATGAAATCAAAAAGGGTTTAAATAAAACACTTTACCGGTTTAAAACGCGATATATTAGTTAAACTTATTTGAAAATGATTTTTAACTTCGGCCCGACGTTTCGGATGCTTTGCAGCAGCTGTGGTCACGGGGAGACTGGTGTCTGGAGTCTTAAACCGGAGTTTTAAACCGTTAAAGTGTTTTATTTAAATGTGTACTACTCGCGTAAACTATAGACAGTATTTTATGAAAAAGGGTTCTTAATGATTTTGCTATAGTCGTAGTCTTTATTTGACATTGGTAATTTTACAATTAAATTGGTAACTAAGTTATAAGGAACGTAGAAATATACAACTAGTTGTAATATTATAAATCAGACTCTCTATTAGAAATTAAGTAATAGACAGTCGTGATTACGACTGTCTATTGTGCTAATAATGTGTTTTATATAAACATGAATTTATAAGATAATTTCATCTATTAGATTTAAGTTAATTATAATTTTTCTTGAGAATATAATAATAGATCTTGCATTTAGTGGCAAGTATGTGTGTGTAGTTTATAAAACTCGACAATTCTTTATAAAGGAAGCGTATATTGTATTAAATTAGTAATAAAAGTTAAATTTTAACATGTTTTTTGTGCTTTTTTTATTGAGTGTATGATGTCGCAGTGTTTTTTAATCATATAATACATGATTAAAAAATACTGCGACATGATAATTATTATCATGGTCTAATAACGGGACGTTCAAGTCAATTGTCACACCGTATAGAACAGCCGACTATAGTCTATGTTGACGCTATACGAGCAGACTATATACACTAGCTTTTAATTTTCAAGTCAATTGTTGTTTTTTGTAGTGGTAATGACGTTGACATTTCAAAAGCTTTAACAGGCGTGTTAGTGATGCTGCCTTTTATGTATTTCCCTTTATTTGGGGAAAAAAACATTTGCTTTTACCACGTAACACTTTAGGAAATAATATTCAAGATTTTCCTTTATTCATAAATTTAAAATGCGCCGAATGTACTAAGGGCACAAAAGAAATTAGTTAATAAGGAGTTTTGTTTTTTTCATTTAATTAAGGGTTTTAAATAAACCTAAAACTAAGGGAGAACATTCTGCAGGGGTTGGCTTCATTGAGTCGAGTTTTGCGAGTGCGTCTTGTGATATTTATTTAATTGACCAAGTTTTAAGTGTTTAAAAAGTTTAATTTACGACTTATTTTCTATTTATAATCATGGCTACTGTAGTAAGTACAATTTTTTGTTTATTTTCCTTATTGATTAATGAGTTCCGCTATCATTTGAAATTCTTTTAATATCCACTTAAGTAGGGCGGTTTGATGAAGTCACAATAATAGGGCTGTAGCTGCTTATTGGACACGCCTTAGTGGATGTGATCATGGGTCTTTTGGGAATAATGATTCATGTACAAACATAAAGCATTTTAAAACTTTTTTTATAATTTTTTAATAATTGAGTTCTTTATTAATATACAAAAAATATACATATATATATATTTTATATATGAGTTTTGTATCCATGTTAAAGATTATTTAAATATGTGTAGAGTTTACTTGTTGTATACATATATATTGATTGAATGCTCTTTATACTTTAAGCATGAACCAACTGTTGTTGGGGTATCCAGCTTCAATGCAGCAGAAGATGCGGCAGCACTTCGAGCGGCTATGAAAGGCTTTGGAACTGATGAAGATGCTATCATTGAAATTCTGACGTCTAGGTCTAACGCTCAGCGGCAGGCCATCTCAAAGGCTTTCACTCATGAGTATGGAAGGGTTAGTAAAGAATAAGATCTTAATAGGTGTAAATAATAATTTGTAAAATACTTTATATTTATTGGTAACTACAGTTAAGGTTGATAAAATATATTTATCTATTGCATTATTTCTGGGAAACTAATTTTTTTCAAGACCATAGTAATAAAATAGACATACCATTTTATATACTACAGGTGAATTCCCTGTATGTGTTCTATTAGTTATGTTTTTGTCATAGGACCTAATCGATGACCTGAAATCGGAACTGGGTGGACATTTTGAAGACGTAATTGTAGCCCTGATGCTGCCACCAGCAGAGTACCTGTGCAAGGAGCTGCACCATTGCATGGAGGGCATGGGTACAGATGAAAATGTACTTGTGGAGATACTCTGCACTCGTACTAAAAAAGAAATTGCGGAGATAGTTGAAGCTTATGAAACATGTGAGTTCTTTTAAAAAATTTTGAGCCTTCGTAGAAAAACCCCCGAAATTTATTTAAAGCATTTAAAAATTCATAAGCTTTATTCTTTAAATCATGGGTCAATATTTCTGATGTTATGCAGCAGTTGTTGGTCACACAAAAATGTATAAAACAGGTCAGGACTCTTAGAACACCCAATATATTAAACAGGCTAAAACCCACCCACGCAATGACATGCTTATTTCATTTATACTAACAAAAAAAAAACTATAAGACCCTGATTTGCCATATTACTGACAAATTAGAAGTTAAATAATTTTAGTACACATAAAATTTAATGAATATTTTAATATTACAGTATATAACCGTCCCTCTAGCAGAGCACATGTGCTCAGAGACATCTGGAGACTTCCGAAGGCTCCTCACTTTGATTGTTACTGTAAGTTATACATCTAATATTATACACATATTTAAAATATGATTTAGGTATGGCTATATTTATTTACAAATTTTGATTGTGGATATGTGTTTGTGCATATGTATGGTTTTTTATTCAATTACTGTGTGTGTGTATGACTTGTTGTTTTTGATTATTTGACTGTTTAGCCCAAATAACTGATTGCTTAATAAATTTTTGAAGGCTTGAACCCATTGATGCCAAAGATGCTATTGTAGGTTGTGAAGGATAGAGAAAGAATTGTTTGTTTTTGCCTGTACTAACAAATAACTGTGATTAACAGACATGGGTTTTGCTTTGGCAGCACTTTTCTTTTAATATAATTAACCTTGGAGGAATGATACTCGCCACTTGAATCAATAAAACCATTCTTCATTACATTTTTTCCAACTAACAATTTTTTTACATGTTTTGTTTGTCTCTCAATAGCTCCAAATGTTTAACTTGAATTGTGTCGTACAATTTTAGGCGTATTTTAATCGTACTTCTGTCTATCGCTTTAGCTAAAAAAAGCATTTTGCCTCGGTTCAGTGACTGTCATAATAGATGACTTTACTTATAGCTACTTCTTAAATAGGTTACTAGCCATTGATAGCTAGCATATTGAGATCCCTCAATTGTATCCAAAAAGTTCAATTCTTAGTCAAGAAATGTACAGAGAGTTTCTCCCATTTGGCGAAAAGTACCTGTTAAATTTTAGAACGTCTGAACTTGACGGTTCCCTTTTGTTTTCAAAAATGACAAAGCTGAACCGAGGTTAAGAGCGGTAGCACGTATTGATAAAGACGAACACACAGGGTGCACGAGACGAGGAGGCTGGTGTTGATGCTGCTCGCGCTGCTGAGGCTGCTCAGCAGCTGTACGACGCTGGTGAGGGGAAATGGGGCACGGACGAGGAAATTTTTAATAAGGTTTGAAAATAATAACAAAGTGTCAACTAAGAGTATTGTATTATTTGTTGCTTTTTTGTACCCTGTTTATTTTATATCTACCAAAATTGAAATTCCATATAAAAAGAGTTTAAATTTGGTAATAATATGGACTTTAATATTTTTCTATAGATATTGGCTCACGAAAGCTTCGGGCAATTGCGTGCTATATTCGAAGAGTACAAGAACATTTCTGGACGGACCATTGAGCAGGCGATCAAGGCGGAGATATCTGGGGAACTGGCGGATGCCCTGAGCGCCATTGGTAACTTGAACAATATATAATTACTTGGTAAGATAACACGGCTTCATCGCTAACAAGCCAAACCAAAAAAATCGAATACTACATGATAAATATCACTACAAATACTACACGATTAGTTGAATCATAAAAAATAATGGTGATAACTGATTTACACACACTTGTGTTTTTATTTGATTTTGATGTGTGTGTGTGCTTGGAGCGAAATGGGTGTGTGAAAATCATGACGTGTAAAGCGTCTACTAAGCTATATAAATTAAAAATCGTTGCCATTATGTTCAAAATTTAAGTTTTCCTTATTTAAATATACTTATTATATAATATAGAATTCTAATTCGTACATAACTAATGCATACCTAGATACCATAATAATAATTAGCTTTGACACTTAATTAAAAAGATACTTCTAGTGGAATGCGTTGAGAATTCCGCGGCGTGGTTCGCGCAGCGCCTCCGCGGTTCCATGCAGGGCATGGGCACCGACGACCGGAGCCTCATCCGGATCATCGTCTCCAGGTCGGAGCGGGATCTGGGCGCCATCAAACGGGAATACGAGGCCCTCTACAATAAGACGCTTAGCAGCGAAGTCAGGGTATGTCTTGTTTGAGGTTTGGCATAACGGTTTTTATTGTGGCATGGTAAATTGTATATGAATAGTGATTAATGGAACAGATTTTGCATTATGTTTGAAGTTGTAACTTACTATTATCGTAATGGGTTATGTAATACTTACATTGATTTAATTTTGAAGGTTGAAAGACAAATCATTCGCATTTAACGCAATGTTTTGTGCATTATTTACTCAAAAACTTACCTTTTGAGTATTTTAATTATTATGTCAAGCTGGATATGTATACCCAAAATAGTTGATCTTGTAGTAGTTGATGATGTTATATGGCTGGGGTATTTTAATCTACAGTGTATTTTTTCTAACTTGGCAAAAGCACAATAATCCATATATTATGCCCTGTGTAGTTAGGTTGTCAAAGGAATATCCATTATAATGGAACAAACGACCTTTTATGTAAATTTCAAACTACAACTAAAGTAAAATAAACTTTAGTATTAAATTGTGGTTTTTACTAAGTAAATTTGAAGTCGTTTATTATTTTAATGTATAAACCTGTGTCTCAAAGTGTTTTATTGTGAATTAATCATAATAAGTGTGAAAAAATCACGATCAAGAATAACAAAAATGCCAAGTAAGAAAAAATACATTATAACATCAACTGAACCCCGTGCTTGTCTTTCCTCATCTATAATAACAAAAATATGTATTCATATACACACCATAAAACAATGAAAACGCCCCTAAAACAAGGCATACCTTATTACTACGGACTTTCAGCGGCGTCTTTCAGAGGCTTCTTTCAATGTAGTCAATGTCAGTTTTTAGTAGGGTATGTCTTGTTTTAGTGGAGTGTGTGGAGAATGCTGCCGCGTGGTTCGCGAGCAGACTCCGTAGTGCGATGCAGGGAGGTGGCACTGAGGATAAGACCCTCATAAGGATTATCGTGAACCGATCAGAGATAGACCTGGCCGCTATTAAGAGGGAGTACGAGAGCCTCTACGATAAGACTCTGCAAAGTGACGTTGCGGTTAGTTTATTTGCTGAGCAACTATGTATGCAATTGCTTGCTTTGAAACAGGATAGTAAAATTTTACTCCATTATAATGTAAAAAATATATATAAGCATGTTAGCTTGTGCTTCATCTCACACAGAACATAATTTTGCTAATGTGGACGTCTAATAGCGCTTAGGTCGATCTCGACTATTAAAGCACATTATAGAGCTTAAATCACTTGTCAATTGTTTTTAATGTGTTTTAATATGGACATTTCTTTATTAATTGCTCTCGTTCGGATCAGGAGGTAATTAACAAAAGTTTAACGAATTCTTTATGTATAACCTCAAAACTTTATATAGGTAATCGTAACGAACACTTATTATTATTAAATCTCTCGATAAAGCCTGTTAAATTTAGATATCTTTTTTTGTTTCGCCACAAAACAACCACTAACTTTCTCGCGTTTTTTGCATGTCCACGCTCTGTTCAACACGACACTAACGCCACCTGTGACTTCATTGCGCAAACCTGAATTGAAAATCACGCCATCTGTCGACAAATATTGAAAACCGTATGTTTTGCGACCCGGCAGCAGGGAGAGACATCGGGTGACTACAGAAAGGCGCTCATCGCTCTTCTAGGTCCTGCTTAAGACCCACCATGATTAAGATTCTCCTATATTTATGCACTGTAAGTGTTTATTGGCAGCTTTTCATATTATTGTTATCAACTCGAATATTTTGAACGGTGTTTTTTTCTTAGAGATATATTTGTGTGCTTTCATTCTCATTTCTAAAACGTTAGCTGTTGTCCTAGTGAAATCTGTGGCCTTAGATTGTAAATTGATGTTTATTAAACATGAAAATATGTGAAGTATTTATTTCGCTTCTAAAAGACGAACTCATTCCACTATTGATTCAATTTATTGTACTCAGTGTGTACTAAGCTTTAATTCTTGTTTATTATATTAGACTTTTCATATAAAATTTGTTTGTTTTACTCTAACTGTGCCCCTCGTAATTTCTACTGTCTCCCACTTGTACTTTACCTTATTTCGAAGAAATCAAAATGCCACGGATATGTTAATTCAATAAAAATTCGAATTTCTATTTTACATTAACAGATATATATTTTATAATATTTGTTTAAAAATCGGTGCATTGAGGATAAAAAGGGGAAAAAATAAAACATTATCAATCGTGAATCTTATTTATCCCATGCGTCGCACGTTACAGCCATACAATGTTCACAAATCCGGGTCTCGCCTTCGACCGAAGCGAATTAACAACTAAAAAGATCTATTACAAATATAAAAAAGGCGCCGCTTCACTTCCAATATACATGTCGAGCGACGTCTAATAAATAAAAATCCGAAACAGAACGATATTATGCACTTTTAAGTACCAATTCGTGAACCGTGAACAATCATTGCACTTGTTACGCTGAATAGCGATTATAGCTAATTTATACAAAGCTTTTAAAACTACGTACAATCACTTAAGAGGAACTAACTCAAGGCATATAATCACAAACTGAAATGTATTACGGAAGCCACTACTTGCGTTGGCATCTGCAGATGCCATGGAAACAAAATATTAGGAAGGTGAATATAGAATAAAATAACATCCAGCTAATTTTTACAAAGAAATTGGAGTTCAATTTTGTTGCAAATTCTAAGAAAATATTGTCCCTTCAATATTTAATTTCTCTGTCACTGCAAGCCTTAACGCATATACAGTTGATGTTTTATCTTCGGACGTAAGTTATTGATATTTCGAATGAAGGGGATAATACAATACAGTTATTACATACGACTCAAAGCGTAAGTTATATGAGAAAATAGACTTTGCCTGTATTTGATTGAGAGAGTATAATAAAACACCACTCAAAACACATTTTAAATATTAACGGTTCTAAGAAATCGGGTGATCGAGTGACGTTACAACGTGCCTTCAAAAATTTTGCACCGACATGAGAGATCATTCCGTCTCACTCACTGCCCCACAATCGCTGTCTGTTGGAAAGGGACGACATGAACGTAGCTCTTACAAATAAACTACTCGCATACCCTTCAAAGAAATCAAATTCTTGACGATTGTGCGTTTTGCAATTAATCAAAACCAATTTAATCCAGGTGCCAATTTCACCATCTCCGAAAGCATGGCAACTGTCAAAATTGACAGCAGCGGATTGATCGAACGCTGTCAACGTCAAGTATCACAGATCACAAATGACAGATCGACGCTTTCAGAAACGGTCATTTCAAGTCAGTGTTATGAGAATCATTTTTTTAACTCCCGTCGTTTCTTTTACGCATCTACCACTACACTAGTCCACTAAATCTTACACACTAAAATTGTATTCCTTTGCTCTGACTATATATACAAATAAGACATTTTTCTATGTGTTTTGCTTGAGTTACGTTTACATTTTTAATATTAACAAAAACTATAAAGTAATATACTATATAAATTTCATTTGTTTCATAAAAAGAACTATGGCAGCACAATGGCCTATAATTTTTTTATTTATTTAGTCAGAGGAACGGAAAACTAGACGCGATATTTAAATTCGACTTCACGCCATCTTTGCTTTAACTTTAAAGGGACTATTACCATACAAATGACCCTTACTTCAATGTGAATTAGAATTGTCTTAGGACGGACAACTAAAAATTGTTGGTAGACAGAAATTTGACAAAGACAGCGCAAAGTAAGTGGCAGTGTAGCGATTTTTACCATAAAGCACTGCTTGTATCTACTCATTGAGGCATCGTATAAGTTTAGAATCACTTTAAAAAAAGGTTTATTAGAAATGAACAAAAAATCACGCTACACGCTGGTCGAGTACCAAAAAAGATTAGATTATTTTTCGCTGTAATATTTTCAGCAACCAAGTTTATAACCTGGCTACAATCAGCATTCTAATAAGTTAAAACCACTCATCATGGTGCGCCTACGACATAAGAAGACAGTTTCCGGTATCATTAAAAACGAATTATTCTTATATAATAAATTGTATAGATACGGAAATTTTGCAAAACTACTTGCCTTTTCGAGCAGACTTCAGTCCGTAATCCTGGAGTTGAAGAACACGAGCTGATGTGTTGGCGAAATTTCACAAACCAATTCTCAATTAGGATAGAAAACACAAGCTAGCTTTACTCTTGTATTATTCGAATGTAAAAAAAGGAGGAATATTGTAAAGTCCGTTTATGGCCTAAAATGGCTATTCCTCTAGGCTTGATCTGGTTCCAATGCAGATACTCGCGCATCCAATTTACAATAGTGCATAACAAAACCTTTTTTCCTGATTTAGAGAGAATTATTAAATAGAAAAAGGTGTGGGGGGGGATTATTTGGTAGGTGGAATAGCCCAGCCACATAACATCGACCAATATGGCTTCAGGCATTATGGTCATTAATGGAAAGAAATGCCATTTTACAAGAAATCTATGAGTAGACAAGCAGTACGCGAAATTCGCGAATTGAATCAACACGCTTTGAACAACTTCTCTCGTAACTCTTCTAGTGGTATTACTTCTTCATCGCCGATCGATGGTTGCTGCTCGGCTTTAGACTGTTCGCGGAGATCTGGAAATTATTATGCACAATCACTTAAATTCATTAATTTTAAAAATTACAAGAATTCTTAAGTAAACAAAATTGTCCTACGATTGTGAGTAAGTCACGCGAGTTGTAAAAGAAGGCCTACGGTACATTTAGAGTAAATGATGATGATGGATTGTTGCCATGGGTGTTTTTTAGCAGCCGTGTTTACGAGGGATTGATAATAGACATGAGCGTCGCTAATACATCAAATCTGCTACGCTAACGCATTATTACTATATTATTATTACATTTGAATCCAAAGCGCCGGATGGAAATTTGTTACAAATGAAAAAAGTATATTTTTCCCACATTAAACCGTTCAGCTCGTTTTATTTCAAGATAATTTATTATTACCATGCCAGTGCTGCAGCAGAGCGTTGTAGTGCTGGGCGCGGTCGTGTCGCTTGAGCTGAGTGAACACGTGCACGAGCCCGCGGTAGTCGTACTCCAGCCCCGAGTATCGCTCGCCGAACAGTTTCAGGCCTGCAACACATTGGCCAACATATATATTCATGGCTTACTATGGCTAATAATAAATGAAACTTTGAAACTCATTTTCTTACTTCAATCTTAGTCAAATGCTAATAAAAATATTTAAAAAATCAGTCAAATAGCCCATTCAAGCATAATGTCTGTGAATAATCATTATACATAATATCTTACTGATATTGATGGATCTGAGATAGAGCTTCTCGGCGGCAGTGTGCTGGTTCATGTGGTAGTTGTAGAGCGAGGCTAGGTGGCCCACGCTCAGCCCCACCTCGTAGTCCTCCGCCCCCAGCAGTTCCTCCTTTATTGCTATCGCCTTCAGGTGCATCGTCTCGGCGTCCTACGATTATAGTGGAAATTCCTTATACCATATACATCCATAGCATGTGTTTCTTATATGTCAAACTTAGTAGTCAAAATTCAAACCTGGAACTTCTGCATCGACTGGTAGAGCCTGCCGAGGTTTCCATAATGCTTGGCCGTCTGAACGTTCTTTTCGCCGAACGCCATCATCGACAGGTCCAGCGCAGCCTTGTGTAGAGCCTCCGACTCTTCGAGTAAGCTGGGTTCTGAAATTATAAATTTAGATAAGGGTTTGACTTAAGTGTTATTTGAGGAATTATATTATTCCTAGTAAACATTTATTGACGGTAGTTTAAAAAAATCTAAGGTAAGTTAAATGCCTACCTCTCATATCTTGACCCGCGGGTGTGTCCAATGCGATTTCTTCTAATATAAGGGCTTTGACGCGCTTCGCCGAAGCCAGTAGCAAATGATCGGGAGGTACGAGATTCTGAAAGAGAATTTCGTCATACAATATACAACCACTCTTCTACTAAATCCTCTTTATCTGTTAAAAATCTGAACATATTTAACTTAATTAATAAAATATTAGAGTTTACTAATGAAAAGTGAAATGAACGCAGATTTACCATTTCACGGTTTTTCCACCTAAGTAGGGTGCTTTAACTCGAACGGAATTTAAAATTTAGATAGAAAAATTCCATTATGTTAAAAAAAATCAATATTCATTTTAAAAACATGTTGGACTTGCAGGAGATTAGACCATCGAGCTCTCCATAAGACTTAAAGTCCAAGCTAAGTGTGCTATTAGGCTGAACCATTCGAGCTGTAAAATATAATATAGATTCATACCTCAATAATGCGTATAGCCCTCTCCGCGTGATCGCGAGCCTTATAGAACCGTCCCGAGGAGTACTCGAGAACGTAGAGCGCGTAGGCGAGGTCTTCTTGCGCCGTGGCCACGTGCAGACTGCTCCGGCCGAACACGCGTCGTAGGGTCGTTAATGCTTCCTGAGAAAAAATAATAATATCGGTCTTTATTATAGCTACAGGGCTCTAAATAACTGTACAAGTTTTACTGTGGCTTGTCTTGTACGTACAACCGAGGATATAGGTGTGTTTTTGTTGTTGTTGTATTTATTGCTTATAAAAAGTTATTTCAATTTATTGTAAGAGACCAACGCTTAAATTGGTTATTTGGAATGAATAGCCATAAGTATCCTGATGACTACTACGATAGGACAAATAATTTATATAGTGAGTTATAACCCACAACTCTTTATTACAATTTAAATTAGTAAAATCCACATATATAACCCGACATTTCCGTCGCCTATCACCAGATGACGTCGCGAAAGACGGTGGACTTGGACAAACATACTCACCTCATAGACCTGAACGCTGTGCGTGATCGAGTCAATGTTGAGCAGATAAAAGCCGTAGTCGAGCAGCGCGTCGGCGTAGCGCGGGTGGTGCGGCCCGAAAGCCTGCCGGGCCAGCGCCACCGCCTGCCGCACCAGCAGCCCGGCCGAGCGGAAGCGCCGCTTCACCACGCACGCTGTGCCGCACGCGCGCAACACCTCGATTGTTATCCTGCACAACGAAATGTCAGTTTATTCATCAGATGATTAAGTATTTATTATTATATTGTCAGTTATACTAAAAATGCGATATCAAACTATTGTTTCGGATTGAACCGATGTAAAAGTGTGTGTTCAATATAATCCAAGTGGATTAAGTATAAAAATAGCATTGTATTGTTACTTGAATTCTAAATCTATCAGAATAATTCGACAAACATGATAAACTATGTTAGCTATACACGTAAGCATATGGTACATTTAATAAGAACATTAATCTTACTTGGGCGGTGTGTCCGGTGTTAGTAGTGATAAGGCACGCATTCCCCAAGAATAGGCGGCGCTGTAATCGCACCGGACGAAGAACAGTCCGCTAATTTCTTTGCACAAACGCGCCAGTAACGACGACATTCCCCACACCCGTTCACCGGTGCAACAATTATCTTCTTCCGTGTACTCATCTAGCCTAGAAGAGAAAGAATACCTTAGACAATAGCGGTAACACAAACATTATAAAACACTGGGCCTAACGGACACCCCTGCGGAACTCCTATCGATCAATTACCTCTCATTATCATCGCCATCAGTCTGTAGTGCTTTAGAGCAGGTTTCGGCTATAGCTATTGGACCCTGTGGGATTTGTGCCTTCGTGTCTTCGGGTAGACCGAGTAATTTGAGTGCCAATTTGTACGTCTCCGCCGCTGCCGGGAAGCAGCAGTACACTGATTGGGTATTTAATAATCTGTAACCACAACAGAAGTAATCAACATACACCATAACTATACTGGCAGAGAAGCCTATACAATATGAAAAAGCCTTGATGAAACAAACTGTGCTCTAAGCACTAGATTCAAGAGAGTCTATAATAGAAAATTTACTACATTTACGATTATTTGCAACTTTATTCGTCATGTTATATACCTTATAGGTACTCAATCCTCCTTCTAGTGTGAATAGTCCGTTCGCTCGAACAAGCACACATTTATGTCTTATTTTTAAATGGCCGCGTTTCATTTGCCTATATCATACCTATGGCAGCATTCAAGCGTCAAACGCTTGTAGTAAGTCGTCTGTGGTTGAGCTTGGCACAGATCTTGGCATCTTAGTAGCACGCGCTGCGCTTCCGCGTACCAGCCGGCCTCGTTTAGAAAACCACCTGAAACGACGTAACGCAGACTAAATAAACATAGATTATTCAACGAAAACAATAATTAAATACTGTCTGTAGTTTATGCGAGTAGTGCACATTTAAATAAAACACTAACGGTTTAAAACGCGATTTACGTTAATTACGGCCCGATGTTTCGGATGCTTTGCGTTTTAAACCGTTAAAGTGTTTTATTTGAAAGAGAAAATAATAATATTAAAAATGTGAAATTCTCTCTGACGATAAAGATAATTTTTGTTTTGTCGTGTTTACAGCATCGCAATCGAACCAGGTGGTCTGGACCTTGCACGTACTAGATAAGTTCGTGAAGATCGAATTATTTATGAATACTATCAGAAATTGAAACACCCACCTAATCTTAATCCTAAGTGTATGAGCGAATTCCTCGGACGATTGCTCTGATTGCACCGAGCCAGATAGGCAAGCGACAGCTCCGTTGAGAGCTTCGACCCGTGCTCAATCACCGCCTGAAAACAATTGACAACTGCTTAAAATGTATGTACGATAAAAATACATGTTTGTTACTCTAGGCCATGTCTGTAGTTTTATGCGAGTAGCACATATTTAAATGAAACAATAAAAATATTTATAAATTATCAATATGCTGGACTTCCACTGGAAATCTGGATATTAAATAAGTGGTAGGAATATCGATGGAAATTGTGCCCGGGTCACCACCGTCCACAGATGAAAAAGGTGTCCAGTTTAATTGCATATCGGTTTCCGAATATCCAAAACTGAACTCCTCCATTCTTTGTCTGTCCTCCATAAAAAACCCTTTTAACGGTTTAAAGGCGAAATATATTAGTTTCCCGCGTGTTCATGACTGTTGCAAAGCATCCGAAAACATCAGTAGGTACACCAGTTATAAAGTAGAGAAATTAACGATGATATTGATATGAGTACAATACAACACAAAGCAACTTCATTATTCTAAAGGTGACTGAATAAACAGGAAAGTATTCAGTTTTTTTTCGCTACTTCAGAAATATCAATACAGCATACATAGTAAGATGTAAATAGGTATTAAAAAGAGCATATAAAGGCGCAGTTGGACACAAAGTTGCGGACGAAGTGATGCGTATCAGGATTGTTACAAATAAGATAATGTTATGCTTCAATGTATAAGGCCACAGTATAATACGAACAGTAATCCGAGAACCGGTTCAATGTAAATGTGAACGAATTCGATATTATATTTAATCTTCCAAATTATCTCAATCAAGCGTGACGTTTTACTCTGTCTACGTTTTTAAGTAATAATATTAAAACCGCAAAATAAAAAAAAACCTTTATTTAGAAATTCTTTAAAAAATTATGTTTTTTTTTTGTATATGAAATAAATATGTATAAGCAAGCACAAATATTATGTGTAATATCTAGATTCGATGTACCTTTTATGAATTTTGAATATTGCATTAAACGATGATGTAATTTCATCCGCCCCGCGTGACCACGGCTGTTGCAACATAGGGTCGTATTTAAAATAAGTTAACTAATATATTTAATAATTATTATAGTTTTTAACGTGTTTTTATAATAGATAAACGATTCGCATGAAATACAAAATCATAACCCATTTACTGAAGTACTTCTAAGAATTTTCTAAAAAGCCACTTACAATACTGTGAAAATGGTATCTAGGAATTAACTGTAACACTGTCATTCAAAACAGTGAAAGCTTTAAACCGTCCTATTGTTATTTCCTTAACCTGTGTCGTTGCACAGTAACATCTGACGCCCTCACCGATATTTGCATTTTTTCATTTCGTAGTTTGCAAAGTGCGGGAAACGCGACCACGTATAAACACGGTGGTATTCCTAACAACTTTGTATTGATACTCGCAACGTACATAGCAAACGGTGTTTTTGCATTGCAAACGTGACTCGTTGGTTAAAAAATATCTAGCATATCAGAGTGTTTAATACTTATAATACATATTTGTAACATGTTATGTAGTAAATACAATCTATATCTATATTGTAATAGTTATACCACAAGTGTTCTTTCCCTGTAAATTTTTAAATTCATCTGACACCACTATAAAAGCTCTTTTAATGATACTCTGGTATTAATCCTAATCAAAACAAATGACTTTAAACCCGCTCCAATAGAAAAGCTTTTGGAATGCCCACCAATTTAAAAAAGTAAGTTAAGTATTTGAAAAATGTCTACGACGACACCGTAGTGAGCGATGAAGATGTCACGGGGGCAGCAAGTGCTTAAGCTTGGGGAAGGAATTTTCTCACTGCAAAATTTAAGAAATAATTGAAAGAAATCCATCTGGACGAGTCCCTAGGCAAAAATTTTTTTTTTTAAAATAATATACTTTTATATCAAAGGAAATGCACGAAAAGGACACAACTATGCCTTATAACCAAGCAACAACAATTTCTATCCCAACAAGGGTTTAACTCGCTAATACCTCGAAATATATTGATATATTTTGAATATACAAAAGACGAATTACCTGTATACCATTACAACAAATGAGACAAGAAAAGTATGAACTCACTCTGATAACTTCCGTTGCAAGCTCTGGATTTTCAAGACAAAGAAATGGTTGAATACATAAGGGTAGTATATAGAAACATAGTAGCATACCGCGTCCTCCGCTACTTGAAGCCAATTGACGGCATAAAGCGATTTGAGCAACATTGTCAAAGAGACGTTTGCCGTAATGAGATAATAAATTGGCTCGGCCATTCCACTGGCAAAGCGCGACAAAAACTTGGCGGCGACCACGTTTTTGCACCCGCCTTCGTTATAGTTTCTTATAGAGGAATTATACTTTAATACCACCGGGTTTAACCCAAGAGAATATCGACCTCAGCTCCTACACTACAATTCCCTGTTTATACGTTTTGTACAGTTCTTTGTGTAAGAAGACATTGTCATTATTATTTCTAGGCCTTTTAAGTTACAGATAAAACGTTCTGCCAGTTGAATTTTCGAGCAAGTACCCTCCTCCGTACCAGACCCTCTACCATGACCGTACGCTAGTACTAGGTAAGAAGATGGAACAATTAAATAGGTATATGATGATATATTTTGCCTTATTGTTTTATGTGTCCAAATTCCGATTATTTCGTCAACAGAAGATATCATAGGTAATCACAGAATAATAATAGGCGTACTCAGAGAAGAGAAGTCAAAGGTAAAAGAAAAGTATTGCTTAGTGGGAAAACAAATGTGTAGGCGCAATAATAAATTGTCGAATGATCTAATTACAAAACGATTGTCGAACCGCATCGGGGTCAAAGTTTATTGACTCAGTGTAAACCATCGCAAGTGTAACGTGACTATCCGTTTTGTTTAAGTACAACACTGAAACGGTTTCAAACATGGAATCTAAATCTGCTATGAACGATGATTTGGCTTTGCAACTAGCTTTAGCCCTCCTTCTTTAATCCCACGACTGTTAACGCAACCAAAGCGTCGGGTAGTCAAAAATTAGTTAAAAATTAAAAATGAAACAGTTAAACTGCCCCGACATTTGATATATGCTTCAAATGTCGAGGCAGTTGAACTGTTTAACTATATCTTAAATATGTGATTATTTCTCGACGCTGAATACCTCTATAATTCAATGTTTAAAAGTGCTGCCTAGCATTGCGTCCTAGATTCTCTAAATAAAAGGACTCATCCTAAATAATGAGTTATTCAATTTAGCGCTTAAATAAGCTCTGCAGTTTTAACTTGACCTTCCTTGAGCTTATATCGTAAACCGTTAGTGCTTATTCCGTGTAAACAGTATTCGTATATCATAACATTATCTAGCGATCTAGAATCTAGACCTTGAGCTTAAAGCCAACGGCTACAGTTATTCTAACGGTTGCAAACATTTACTGCGGTTATTCTGCTGGAGCGTCATCTTATTCGTAAGGCGATCAAATCTAATAAACGAAGAAACAGACGCAAAGTTATCTCACTTTTAAAAGATCCGGGGAGAAGCAAGTCGAGCTATACCGGGTAGCGTACTATCTGTATTTTCTATTTGTTCTTAGGTACTTTTATATTTTATAAATAAAATACTTTAACGGTTTAAAACGCGATATATTAGTTAAACTTATTTGAAAATGATTTTTAACTTCAGCCCGACGTTTCGGATGCTTTGCAGCAGCCGTGGTCACGGGGAGACTAAAGATGGAGGATGTCTCAGACGTCAAAGTAAAAATTGTTACGCTAGCGCCATCTGTTTCGTCGAAGTTGGTATTTGGTGAAACTGGCCGGGTCCTTACAGAATTGACTAAAGGTGTCTTCGCGTTTTCCGGTATGCTGTTTATTGGGATCCAATATATCGCGTTTTAAACCGTTCAAGTGTTTTATTTAAATGTGTACTATTCGCGTCAACTATAGACAGTATTTACTTTTATATTTTTTACGTCTTATTATTGTTAATTTTATGTTCGTAAATATAAATAATTAATATTGTGTACTAAAATCGAAAATAAATTGATTTCGATCGGGCAGGACTTGAGCCGGCATCGTCAGCCTTCCCCGTGGGTATGCTCACAATTGAGCAACCGATATAAAAGACCTTGTGTGTAGAATTAAAAAAAACCGTTAAAAGAAACAGTTTTTTTATATTGCACATTGGTTTTTAAATGTAAAAAACAATCCTGTAAAAATCCCATGACTGGAAAGATCTTGAACCCACACTGTTCCTAAATTTGATCTTTATACCTATCGCGGTTTAGTAGATACTTATCTGGTGAAAGACAGCCAAGTCTCAACAAATTACCACATTCTTCAATCTATGACGAACCTCAATTAACAATGAACGATTAGAAGCGGCGCTACACGTGTCGAGTGGATAACTAGCTAACCACTTAATATACGCGAGTAATCTCTTTTACATACCTTACCTTATATTATTAGTCCTTTTTTAATATTGGGGACAGCGTTAAAAGTCAGATTAGCTGACTACACTGCCAAAAACTCCCTATTTCTCCTATGTACAGCATGAAAAACATAACTGCGCGAACTCGAATATCCAAAGCCAAAATAGGTCGATAGCGCCATTAAAAAAGAACAACATTAAAAACATATTTTTTTGTTTTAATAAAAATATATTAATTCGAAAATAGAAATGGAGATTTAAAACAAGTCGTTTAAGTTTCGATAATGAACACCCCAAATCATACGGACTATAATAGCCGATCTAAACTATCGTGTAATCGTCGTAGTAGTTTACGCGTTACAATGTAACATACACACGCAGTTACTTGTTATTTTTCCTACGAGCTGTGTCAGCTCTATTTTTTGGGTGTACTGAACCATTTTCGCAGCGTACTAACTCACAGACATGAAAATTTTCCCGGTTTTGTTCACATTTCCTGCTGTATCCACGCTACTATTAGTCACAGTAACAGCCTTCCTCGATGAATGCTCAAAACCAACTCAAAAATAATTTTCCAATTCGAACCCGTAGTTCCTGAGATTAGCGCGTTCAAACAAACAAACTCTTCAGCTTAATATATATAGACACCAAGAAGTTTCAAAGTCAGCTTCAGGTGTCGCTGACGTGTACATAATCGCATAGTAACTGCCATCCATTGCGCGAGAGGTGCATGTATCAATCAGTTGAAAAAATTCGACAGTGAGGTGTAAGACTCGGTAGATCAATTGGTAGAGCAACAGCACGGAAAGCTGACGATGCCGGTTCAAGCCCTGCCCGAGGCGAAATTTTTTTAAATTTATTATTGATTTTTTAATTATAAAGTGCCTTCATGTTATTGCAATAAGGCGATGTGAAAAATATTAATGTTTTCAAGCCTAGTGTTGTTTTCGCGTTAAAAGCGATTGTGAATGTGTATTTCAATCGCCCTTATGCAAGACTGCACTTGCGTCAGAGACGTCACGACTCGGTAATGCATTCATTGTTGTGTTAGGTCTGGCTCCGGAGTGTTTTTAATTGTTTCGCTAACAGTTGAATACCTAGACGACCCTGATGTAACCATCTGTAAGGCTCGAAGAACAGAATTATTTAGAGAATGTTGTTTACTTATTATTCTCTTAGACTTCCAAGGGTGATGTGGTGATGTGTAGATACAGTGCGAGTCAGGCAAGTGGTCCTCAATAGTCTTACCGAAAAATTCTTACTAACAAGGCTACTGAATACTTCATTTATTATTTCTCCATAAACTTAGATATAATTTCTTTCCTCCCATATTTTACTTTTAGAAACTTATTGGTTTTATTAATATCTTAGATATTTTTTTTAATATTGACATTAATTAATCCTTATATATACTTGGAGACAATTTTATGACAACAAACTCAAATACACTCAACACGATTTTTTTATTTGCTCACACAGTGGACACACGAACAAGAACTTAATTTGTCTTGTTTTTAAATAAAGGAAATTTTATTCCTTTATAACATCGCAGGCAACCGATAACGAATTAAAAAGCTTAATTCAAAGTTGTTAAAACAAAAAAAAATTGTTGGAACACACATACGATGCTGCTAGAGCCAAAGTAGGTGCTATAGTCTGCCTCTAGTGGCCTCATATATACTAGGATAAGTTATGGTTCCCTTACAGTAAATACTCACCTGAAAACACTGTAGCAACCTCAGCTGCGCTCCGGAGAAGCGCAAAAGCCTTTCGAATATTTCCAATTCTGACAATTCAGCGCCGAGAATACACAGCCTTTTCTCTTCCAGCATCTGAAACAATACGACACACGTTTTAACCGATCCGAACACTTTCTATTTATTCAAGGGGTAACAACTATTATACTATTTAAATTAACGCTATGTACAACAGTGCAATATAGAAGTAAACTTGAATGCGTAATTAAATAGTATAATTTATTCTTACGGCGCATACCACCTGTGTGTCAGATTCGAGTTTCACCTGATTTATTAAGTCCAAAGAATACTAGGAATAGTATTAAATACTTTAAACCAATGAATAAATATATATAGAGATATATAATACTAAAATATGAGAGTGTCATTTTTCCAACCCAAATGTACTTTGGCACTAAGAAATTTATGCCCTACAAAAAAGTTCCACCCAGAGAGATCTTATATTTCTAAATTGAGAAAGCGAATCCCAAGTCCAAAAAATCTTTCATAGTATTAGTACTTATAAGGACACATTACAAGATTTATAATATATAACAAGCAACGTGCATAAATCTGTTCGTACACCTAGTAATAAGGGCATTTTTTTAAACATATAAGTAACAGAAAGTATTTTAAAAGTTAAGTATTAAAAGAAGTTTATACTAAAAAAAAACTAGAAAATGGCGTCATTTGTCGTTCATTGTACGCTCTTAATTTAAAACCTTTTTTTTTTTTCGTTTTTAAAGTTGACATTCCAAATTCAAAATAACAGCATCTCGTTCAGATGTAATATGGCTGGGTGTACCTTCCATCAATCAAACCCTTGTTTGTCTGTCCTCCTAATAAAAATTTCCTCAGTTACATGAATACATTGGTTTCAATCACAAATCCTACCGATCCTAGAACAACGCAAGTGCAACGCGTTTGCGAAACATGCATGCAAACAGCGAGGTGCACGCATGAGATGGCCCACATCGATTGCATCGGCATTGGGAGTGTGATGACACCGGCTGACCCTGAGGCCGGTAAGCCATATTCGCTTTGTCCGTCACAACGACTACGAGTCGATATTATAAGCTGCAATTTTTCAATAACAAGAAAACAAACGAGCGTGTATTTACATTGAAGTTAGTTATTTTTTCTTCTTTTCATGCCTTTTATAATTTTACTTATTCTAAATGTTATGACCAATATAAACTGCAACAAAATATTAGGAATCCTCACTAAAACTTTATTAACTCAACCCAAGGCGTTTAAAAATGTTTTCTGTCGTCGCATGCGCAGCGGAAGCTATCGACGCTAGGACGATAGTATGTTTTACAATATTGAAGTATATATCAATAATTAAAAGAAACTCCCATGATACTACGAAGACAGTTTGTAGCTTATATAGTAATCTAACGAGTGAGATAAAGGAGATGATCGTTTATATTTACAGACGAGTAGTTGATCAAACCTCTGTCTGGCCGAAATCATTACTCTCAATATACACAAAAGGTGTTGTTGATGCTAACATTCTAAAGAAACATTAGAAAAAAAAACACGAAAAACTACACTTTTCCATAATTAATGCATCGTTTGTTTGTCATTCTCATGTGCCCGAGTTAATCAAAACATGTGTACATTTTATTCCATCGTCAACAAATCAAAATTCATTGACACACGCCGTACGCACACGCACACGCAAATATACGTGGGATAAATAAGCTGAAATTCATTTGTTAAATTATAATAGGCTTTATGTTAATGCCATAATCGCGACTTTTCCGTGACCATCACGAGACAAGGTCTTTGCAAATTTTGATCTATAATCGCCGAGACGTAATGTGAATTACAACCACGTGATCCGCACGTTTCCAAATGTTTGCCTTATTTGTATTTAGCTGAAGAAGTCGCGCGGTTGTGAATTTCCAAAATAATTATCATATATTTATTTGCTTGGCATAATGGACGTTGTCACTAAATTAATATGTTTTTATTTATATTTTGGTTCTATGAATATTCTATTATTCGCACGAACGTTCTAGAAATAACTTAAGTGTTGGAATTTTGTTTGTATGTAGTTAACGTAAGTTGTAGTTGTTTGTCTCGAAATAGATTTTACCTAAGCTTCTGATGCTTTACATTTTACATCACTTATTAGAATTCGCACCAAACGGAATGTTTGTATAAGTCCCCCATTTCAGGCCACATATAGACAATGGACTTGGGGAAAAATTACTCTGTTTAAACGACCGATATCTACCGATAGAAATAAAAATAATTTAGATAAAGGAATGAACAAATGTTTAATTCCGTTTCAGCAGAGATTTGAATCCACAACCCTGCCTATTACAATGCATCACGTAAATTGTTGCCTACCTAAAGGTTGCATTGGTGGAAAAGGCCTGTAAAAACAAATCAATACCAGAATTGTTCAAACTCCAAAGCCTAATCGGTTGATCTTGTTAAGGCGTCAAAAAGTTGGGATTTCTAGCATTCTAGGGAAGCACGATTTCCCCCATCCAAGGTTTACTTGGAAATCATGCTTCTCTGTCCTATGTCATAAAAAAAACACTACGATATGATGCCTACCTTGTAAACATAATTGCGAAATCGGGCTACCCCTTGTGATATTAACTTAAATTGATATTAAAAGCGGCTTCTGTACATAACATGACAACATGATTGATCGACTAGATGAAGTGGGATATTCCTCTATGATGACGTTGTTAATATAGTGAAGAGGCATTCAGATAACGTTTGATTATATTACGTTAGGTTATATTTATACATAAGTGCCATTTTGGTCTAATCGTCGAATTGTTAATGCACGTAAATATAAATAGTTTTAGCTCTATAAGTTTCTAATGCTAGCTTCGGTACCCGTTTTCGCCATGAATTTGTGACATGTTAAAGCACACAGCTCAACTAGAACAGCGTGGTGGGCCTAAGCTTTTAAAACCCTCTCCAATGCGAGAGACATAAGGCCGACAGAAGAATTTAAACGCGGTAACCTGAAATACTTACTATATTTAAATGTGTACTTGCGTAAACTACACACAGTAAGTAACAAGCTCTCAACAGTGTCACCTACAAGCCTAAAAAACATACGTCTGCAAGTGGGAGGTGGGAAGCAATTAGTCAGTGGAAGAAAGGTAATTCGTCGAAGCGCATTCCTGCATTCGGTATTGGTGTTAATGGCTACCGCGCATTGCATAAGGCACTAGATTTCTAGCCGACCCACTGCCGCATTTAGTGATAAACGCGGTTAAGTGGGACGATGTGACATAACGAGAAGTGGACGTGCGCGAGAGTCAATAATCACACAAGGTATTATTTTAAAGGGTTTGAGACGCAATATTATCGATAACGAAAATACCTGCAGAACTTAAGTATCTATAGCAATGATTGCTAACAACCAACGCGACTTGGGTTCGGTCGGAAGAAATACCCACCGGGTCAATGTTACCCGATGGGGATTTCTTATCAATTTATAATTTTTCTGATACATATTGGTCTTCGTCTGGAGATCTGTTAACTCCTCCTAAATAAACTCCTCTTTAATGTGGCAAAATGTAAGGTAATGAGTTTTACCAGAGCTAGAAGCCCTCACATATATGACTACAGGTTGGGTGAACGTATCATCAGGTGTACAGCGGGTGACAGAAGTCCGCGACCTAGGGATCCATTTTACTTCGGACCTACTGTTTAGAGATCACGTTGTAAGAATATGCCAAAAGTCTTATTCTCTAATATTTTAGTATGTTATACCTATATAGGTCCTCAACTTAGACAATCAATATTTTTACTCTGTGATATATAGTTATCGATTTAGAGGCTAATGAAGTTTTGACTCTACAGCAGGAATGCGCTATTTGTATTCCAAAAAAAAAAAATGCAAAATAAAATAAAATAATACATGAATTGTATAGTTTAGAGACTTTCTTTTGTCATTTTTAGAAACTAACGGGCGGCAGGCGCGGCACGGCGCCCACCGCTGCGCTCCGGCCTTGTAACTGGTCTAGCTCCTAAACCACTCCCGTGCCCAATATGAGACTTAGCAAGGATTATCTACATACTATGAGCTATTTAAAAAAAAAAATTGAAGTGGTCCAAGTTTGAGAAAATCGAGTTTAAAAAATAAAAAATTTTTTTAAGCTACAAAATATAAAATTCATTGTATTAATGCAAATGTTATTTTACATTTTAAATTCCCGTCACAAATTAGCCATCACAGAAGAAGAAGCAATGAAGTTTAACCGTGGTTCCAAAGCCAAATAGGCGCAGCTCATTTTGTTTGGATGTTATACGGTTGGGTTATTTCACCTACGATTGGGATGCTTTTCTGTCCCCCTCCACATAAAAGGAAACATTTAAAAAAACCGAGTTAAAGATTGAGACCCATACCAGCCATTTTTAGCCTTAGCGAAATGTGTGTTGGGAGATGAAATTTTTGGTTGGGAGAAACTTTAGAGACCCTTTAAGTGCGTATGATAAGGAGACGAAGTCCTTTTGGCGACCCTGTCTAGTACATTCTTCAAGTTTTAATCCGAGGAATGCTAGAACACTCCATAAATGTAATCACCGAGCCGCCAAGTGTCGCGAGCCGCAAAAAAATGTCTGGCGAAGTGTGCCAGGGCAGCGGGTCAGCAGGCCCCGAGCTAGATGCTCATGTCTAGGCGCGTTGGCACACATTGGTGGGAACATCAATCTAGGCGTATTTAGACATTGAGGACTGCGGAAGAATGAGTTTCAACTGATTATTTGTTTATTTACTTGAAGGCCACTTGGATTTGACTTGGTAATTTCGCTGCGTGAATAGCATCATAATAGTTAACAATTTGATAAATCTCAAAAAAAGATATCGATTGTTTGGAAAGATAGAATCATGAAATGATCTATGACGTCATAAAAGAATTGAAGTTGCCTCATGTCAAGTGCCTAACTTTATCAAAAGGTATTACTTACGGGACTTGGGCAGATTTTTTTCAAAGATAGATGTTTCAAAGAGGTTGAAAGAAAAAAGATCTTGGCTATATAACATATAAACAAGATGAGTTGCCAACCTAAAACCTTGGGCAATGGAAATCGACGGAATGAAACCCAAATGCGGA